AACATTAAAAAGAAAAATATAAAATCCCTCAGTTGTATGCACAGCTAAACAGAACTGTCTTTAACCTGGTTTTAAACATTGTCATTGAGGAGGCCTGTCTAACATCTTCAGGAAGAATGTTCCAGATTTTAGCAGCATGAATCTGAAAAGCAGCCTCCCCATGTTTAGTTCTGACTCTGGGCACTAACAGGAGTCCAGTCCCTGTGCTCCTCAGAGTCCGGGCTGGTTCATATGGTACTAACATGTCACTAATATATTTTGGTGCAAGGCCATGGAGAGATTTGTACACAAGCAGAGCTGTTTTAAAGTCTATTCTCTGAGCCACAGGAAGCCAGTGCAGAGACCTGAGAACTGGACTAATGTGGTCGTACTTCCTGGTTTCCTGGTTGCATTTTGAATGTACTGCAGCTGTTTTACAGCCTGTTTGGAGAGACCTGTGAGCAGGCCATTGCAGTAGTCTAACCTACTGGAGACAAATGCATGGATAAGAATCTCCAAGTCTGCTTTGATCCTGGCAATGTTTTTTAGATGGTAAAAAGCTGCTGATGTTACTGATTTGTTGTGGCTATAAAAATTTAAGTCTGAGTCCAGTATTACTCCTAGATTTCTGACCTTGTTTGAAGGTTTTAGGGAGAGAGACTGTAGGTGACAGATGACGCTCTCTCTTTGTTTCTGGGGACCAAAGATAATCATTTCAGTTTTGTCTGCGTTTAGCTGAAGGAAGTTGTTTTGCATCCACTCACTGATCTGTTGGATACAGTGAAGGAGTGAGTCCACTGGTCCATGTTCTCCTGCAGTCAGTGAGACATGGATCTGAGTGTCGGCTGCATAGTTGTGACAGGACACTTTGTTTCTGCGTATTAACTGACCTAACGGCAGCATGTAGAGATTGAACAGAAGAGGTCCCAGGATCAACCCCTGTGGTACTCCACAGGTCAGGGCCATATGATCTGAGACACAGTTTCCAATCTCCACAAAGTACTTCCTGTCTTCAAGGTAAGACCTAAACCAATTTAGGGCGGTGCCAGCGACGCCAACCCAGTCCTCTAGTCTCTGTAAGAGGATCTCATGGTCAACAGTGTCAAAGGCAGCACTCAGATCTAACAGGATTAGGATTGAGACTTTGCCTGCGTCATTGTTCAGCCGGATATCGTTTGTAACCTTAACGAGAGCAGTCTCAGTGCTGTGGTGGGTTCTAAAGCCGGACTGAAACATATCAAATGAGTTGTTGATTATAAGAAATCTATTTAGCTGTTGGTAGACAACTTTCTCAAGGACTTTCCCCATAAATGGCAGATTTGAGATGGGACGATAGTTGTTAAGTACCGTAGCATCCAGGCTGCTCTTTTTTAGCAGGGGCCTGATGACTGCAGTTTTCAGGGCCTTTGGGAATATTCCAGAATGAAGGGACATGTTTAATATCTGTGTGAGTGAAGGTAACAGACTGCTCAGAACAGACTATCTAGTGGGTAGTACATCCAGGCTGCATATGGAGGAGCTCAAACTGGAGATTATCTCTTGGACAGTTTTATCATTTACAGGTGCAAAGTGAGTTAGCTCAGAGAGCCTTTTTGGCTGTTGGATTGTTATCTGTGGATTGGAGACAATGGCGTTTTTGATGCCTTGAACCTTGTCATTGAAAAAATTAGCAAACTCATTGCATTTACGTTTGGAAGTAAGCTCTAATGGCATCTGAACAGGGGGGTTTGTTAATCTATTAACTGTTGAGAACAGAACAATACCTTTCTCCATAGACGTCGGAACTAGGGGTGCGCGTGTGCCGGGAGCGAGAAGTTATCACTATCCTGCGTTCCTTGCAGCCCAAAACCCGCTCCATGCTGTCGGAGAAGCTTATGAAGCTCTGTCTGGCTAATATCTGTCGCAGCCTCTGAGCGCTCTTTCTCAGCCTTGCGCAGATTAGAGACCTGGCTACACCAGTGACGTGCGGTGGGGGATCAATCATGTGTTGTAGTAGTAGTAGTAGTAATCTTTATTTATATACCGCCTTTTCACTGCACATCGGAGTCTCAAAGCGGTTTACAATTGTGATTTTGTGTGGGGGTGCCAGTACAGGAGGCACATGCCAGACCTATTGTACATATTTTTAGTGGTAGGGGAAACCGGAGCACCCGGAGGAAACCTACGCAGACACGGGGAGAACATGCAAACTCCACTCAGAAAGGCCCTGGTCCAACCGGGATTCGAACCCAGGACCTTCTTGCTGAGAGACGAGAGTGCTATCCACTCAGCCACCGTGCCGCCCTCATATTATACATCATATTAACCAACAGGACCTACAGGAACAGGAGCGGCTTATACACAATTTGTTTGGCTACAGCAGAATATGATTTAATGTCTGCATTGTTTTCTCATACAAAACGCAAACGTTTGTAAATAGTACAAAGTGTGTTATGGGCCTTACCTTAGGTATTAATGAACAGCACAGACCACTTCAGTTAGGACCAGTTTCATGTTTAAGTCCAGATAATAGTTTGGGCACAGACATGTAATCCTCCATTTGGAAATAAGTTCAATGAGTTTTAAAAAGTAAAAAAAACGGGTGTCTCCTCCGTAAACTCCGAGTTTTGCTGCAGCCGACTCCCGGGTAAATCCAATTTCTAAATTCAACCTTACCCTTCACCTCCTTTTCTTATGATTCATATCATCATTGGAAGCAAAACATTACTCTAAGTGCATTTTAAATTATCTTAAAATGTATTATAGGTATGTTAGCCAAACCTGTAGTTGCCCTTAGCAGAAGAAGAACAAGAAAGGAGCTTTCTGATGGAATTGGATGCAGCCAAAGTTTGGGCTCACAAGCGCCCCCTTGAGGCTTTCCTCACTTACAAGCTGTGGTTGAGCGCGATTAAGACCCATATTTGCTTCAAAAACACAATTTATGAGCCATCCTCTTAAATGTAAACATGTTGATTGTAAATTAAATATTTTTGAACTTTTTAAACTGTGATAAACAGGGAAAACAGTTTGATAGCACCTCACAGGACTCTCCCTGTGAACTGTTGCTTTTTACGTCTCCCAAGAGAGGCTCGCCTCACAGCACCGCTCTGTCAAATCTGCGATTTCAAGGTATAAATAAATGAAATAAGGCACAGCACAAATCACTTGATAAAGTGACCAAACATTATTGTATCCATTTTATTACTTTTCTTTCTATGATCTTAGGTGAGGGCCTTGCCTGCCTCATCTGACCGCACGTCACTGGGCTACACAACACAATGAAGCCACCGGAGAGACTGACGCATGAATGCGTATTGAAAAAAAAAAAGTTCAGTTTGATAAGTGACTTGCTTGATATATATTGTTTATTTTGTTTTTCTTAACAATTAAGATGGTATGTTATTATCCAGTGTAATCCAAGTATGAGTCTCTCCCTCGACTCTCCCAACAAAAACCCGCCCCCCCTCTCAGAAAATAGTTCCGACGTCCATGCCTTTCTCTCGTACTACGTAGCACCCGGTTAAACTCGCACAATTTATCTTTGAAGATCTCGTAATCAACCTGGAGGTTGGACTTGCGCCACTTCCGCTTGGCCCTCCAGCACTTTCTCTTTTGTGCCCTGACCGAGTCTGCTTTAGCCCTTCTGCTTATTTTTCACTATTTAAACCTTCACAGGAGCGATGGTGTCCAGAACATTCAAAACACTAGAGGTGACAGAGTTAAACAGTTCATCTACAGTAGAACACGATGCATTCTCAAAGTTTATCATTCCCATAAATAGATCACTCGTATTTTCATTTATGCGCCTTCTTCGAACAGTTGCAGAGTCCACTGGTGGTTTGTTAGTGAAACACATGTCAAAAAAAACACAGAAATGATCCGAAAGAGCAACATCGACCACGTTTACATTTGAAATATTCACCCCCTTAGTAACTAACAGATCTAGAGTGTGCCCTCTGCTTTGGGTGGGGCCACTCACGTGCTGAGTGAGACCAAAGGATTCAAGTACAGAACTCAGCTCATTTGCAACTCAGTATTCATTGTCCTCCAAACATGACGAGTTGAGTTTATACCAGAAAGTTCTATTTTGGTTTCATCTCACCATATAACATTCTCCCAATCCTATTCTGGATCATCCAAATGCTCTCTAGCAAACTTCAGACGGGCCTGGCCCTGGACATGTACTGGCTTAAGCAGGGGACACGTCTGCCACTGCAGGATTTGAGTCCCTGACTGGGTAGTGTGTTACTGATGGTAACCTTTTGGCGCTTTTCCACAGCACCAGCACTACACCACTCTACACGACACGTCACGACCCGGTCGAGTACGCGTGCTTTTCCACATATCTCCATCGGACATCTTCAAGTGGGTGGGCTTTTCATACCACCGCTACCGTTACGTCATTTCCGCTACCGTTACGCCATTTCCGCGCGACTCACGAGCATGAAACCAGGAAAAACATTACATCCTCAAACAATGGAGGACTCCGACACGATCGTGGTGTTGCTGCTCTCTCTGTGGCTACTAGTCACAAATAGACTGAAAAGCCTGAGAAGAATCCAGGCGGCGAGACACCAAAGAATGACGAAGTTATTGAAAACCTTGCAGGAGTTTGCAGTTGAGGACAGGAGACAACGAGCTGAAAAAAGACGGCGTTTGTGGGTAAGCTAATATTGCTATCGCTAGCTTTGTAGCAGCCGTCCTGAACAAAATGGCTGCTGGCTGTCTCTGTAAATCATTAATATGTGTATGCTGTATGTGTGTGTTTCAGATGCTTCTCGGGTTGCGTCGCCGCCGCAAGCCATCGGTGTGGGCCTTAAACCGAGCCTCCGAGTGGTGGGATATTGTAGTCCCAAGCTTCAACAACACGCAGTGGGTGCAGAATTTCCGCATGTCCAAAGAAACGTTTGATTACCTCTGCACAAAGCTGCGCTTGATTATGGAGCGACAAGACACTACTTACGGGTATGTGTGCCCCTAAAGAAGAGAGTGGCTATCGCACTCTGGAAACTTGCTACTGGCTCTGAGTACCGAAGCATTGGTCACCTTTTTGGAGTCAGTATAACAACGGTGTGCCGCTGTGTGCAAGACTTTTGTGCTGCAGCAAATGCGGTGTTGGTCCCAGCGCAGATCCGTTGTCCTACTGAGGAGAAATTCAGGGAGATTGCTGCCTACAACGAGAACAGATGGGGGGTCCCACACTGTGTTGGTGCCATTGATGGATCCCACATCCCTATCATGGCTCCACAGGAATGTCATTGTGACTATTTCAACCGCAAAGGGTGGCATTCCATTATTCTCCAAGGTGTGGTTGATGGAAAGGGGTTGTTTTGGAACGTGTTTGCCGGATTGCCTGGGAGCTTGCATGATGCCAGGGTCTTGAGACTCTCTAACTTGTGGGAGTTAGCCTGCCGGGGAAGCCTCTTCCCAGCTCACACAAGAGAAATTGGTGGGGTGACTGCTGGCTATTACCTCCTAGGGGACTCCGCTTACCCCCTGCGGAAACTGGCTCCTAAAACCTTTTCAGGACACCGGACGACTGACAGACGAACAGCAACTATTCAACAGAAAATTCAGCAGAGGGCGGGTGGTTGTTGAAAATGCTTTCGGCAGGCTTAAAGGAAGATGGCGCTGTCTTCTGAAAAGGAATGACTCTGACACTGAACTGGTAAAGTCTATGGTGCTGGCTTGTTGTGCTCTGCACAATCTGTGCGAAAACCATGGAGAGACCTACGTGACAGAATGGGACACACCTGTAGCAACAGTTCAGCCTGTGGTAGCAGTGGCACAGGGTGCAGATGAGGGGCAGTGATGTTAGGGAGGGTCTGATGCGTCACTTTCTGTCCAATGTCTGAACATTTTGCCTGTTTTGGAACAACAAATAAACCTTTTTGTATTCAGCAAAAATGCCTTCTATTCATATTTCACTCCTGGGAAAGTACAGGTATTACTCATATAGGTCACATTACAGTCACCACTCACAGAACAGTCGCAGGAATATGCCATCTGCTGCAGATGCTTCCTGGAATACTCACAATGAAGAGCAATAATCCTAAATAAAATCAATATCCAAACAGTTATTCAAATCAATATCCAAACAGCCCACAACCTGGGCCCATTTAAACGCAGAGCTTCTAAAGTTCACTCCCAAAAACAAACTCAATTATGCAAATGACTTACAGGAATTGACACTACCCAACACGATGTCAAGACTTTGCATTTTCTCCAGATGCCAATTTCTGGACCCAAATCCGCAACATTTACTTTATGGCCAAAAACTCAAACATACAACTCAAAGTCCTCCATAGATACCACTACAGAGACCGCTAACTTTTAAAAATGGGTTTCAGCACTTGCTCGCATTGCACAAAAATAGTGCTGATAACATTAATATAGATATGGATGTTTATAGCAATAATGAGAAACTCAAGAGGGCAAGTGGAGAGGTCCAACGCACCACTAGAACAGGACACAATGTAGTGCAAGTATTGACAGTCATAATGGATTCATTTTTTTGTGCTGTTACTTGTTTTGTCATTGTAACCTTTTGGTGGGATATGCATGTATGTGTTCATGTATATGCAGAGAGCCAATATTGCATATTAATGAAATATTAATTCATACATTTTCAATCATACACCCATTAACCATTCCCACCATTACAAATACCTTTATTCCCTTTCAGATTTGGATCAGCCACTCGCACGTGCACACACAAACTCTTTATCGTGCCTTTCTTACCCACTTTCCTAGCTTATTGTATTGTAACCAACACTGTACATTATCAGTAGTCTGTATTGTTCCCTGTAGGCTCCTCACTTAAATAAATAAACCTTCTATTCCTAAATTTACCACAATTAAGGATTTACTGACAACAAATAATGTGAAACCTTTGGTTTGCATGTTAACTCATGTGTACCGAGAAATGAAACCTGGCTTGGAAAAAAATCACACATTTATTTAAAAAAAAACAAAATTTTAAAGTGCACCAATAAAATTATTTACAAAGTGTCTTGGTGAAGAGTGTCTTGGTGAAGTGTCAGTTTCGGCGGCCACTCATGGCTTCCACCAGCTGGCCCAGGAGACCAAGAAATGATTGGTTAAATGCAGCCGCCTGTGCATTTTCCTCCCTCCTCAATGTCGCTTCCAACTGTTGCGACTCTCTGACGAGCTGGAGTTGCTGTGTCCGGTTCAGCTCCTGCTGCACCACATCTTCAGCTTGGATCTGCCTCATCATTTCTACAGTCTCCGTCTGGAAGAGCGCCCTTTTTCTCTTCCCTGTACAACAATAAAAAAAGTATTAACAGTTGGTAATTATCCAAAGCAGTGACATTTCTGGAGACATACTTTTATGTAGGCAAAAAGATTATTACGTTTCAGACCAGTATATATCACACTACCCGAGATTTTGCAACAACTACCCTTTCAAAGAGGAAAAACCTCCACTTAAAGTGTTACGTGTGGGATCATTTGACTTAATTGCAAATCGGGTAATGTTTGTATGTCATGTATCACGCTTTGTCAATAAACAATATTTAATGGTCAATGTTTAGGCATTTTAGGACAAAGCATGAGCATGACTTAAATACACCCAGATTAATCAAATCAGTCAGTGCACCTAAACTTACATTTCGCTGCATTTCTTTTTCACACCAAAGTGAAGTGGTATTGTATCACAAATTAGATTTTTTATTTGGAAAAAGATCACTGACAGGTGGTCCGATTCCTTTTTTATTGACATTCTCTAAAGCTAGGGTGATAGTGTCCAAACTAGGCATTAATTGGACATACTTCACCGAGTTGAAGGCTATTACTTCTGAGATCCACCAGGTGTCGGTATAGAGCTGCACTGTTGCGGCACAGTATCAATGTAGTTGTATTATTTTTTTTTGCTGCTATAGGACATGAATTTCTCCCAGGGTGATGAATAAAATATCTATCGATCATGTATTATGTTTGCCTTACCCGTGACCACACGCTGTGCGCTGCTAGACGTGTCGCTCGCTATCGAAGGGAACGCATCAGGCGTCGAAGCAGCAGCTGGTTCTGGAGGGATTGGAGACGGGGACCTTGGGGGGTCGTTCGACGCTTCACTTGCGACAAGGGATTCTATAATAAGACAAACACACACAACGACTTAAGTAAAAGCACAAAACTGAATGGCAACACGTGAAATGGCAAGATGTAGCACGTGTTAGCAGCTTGCTATCGATAGCTTAAAGTAGCTAGCTCACTTTGTACAGCAGACAACAATCAAACGTTTACATGAATAAATACATTCCAGTGGGCATTGAGCCACAGGTTACGTGATAATGCATTTTCACAATAACTACAGATAAAAGTTACAAAGCACTTACCATTATCGCCCATTCTCGACGTGGAAGAAGAGTCCAGAGCACACTCCCGTCCATTGTTTGCAGGCCTGTGGCCATAAATGGCATCCATCTCGGCATACCACCTCCAGGTCTTCCGATTGACCCCACTTCGGCCGTTGTGGTCCTTTATGGCCCGGTAATCGCACTTCATCTTCTTAATCTTGTCCCTGCACTGCTGATGCGTACGGTGGTAACCGTGTGTTAGCAAGAGCTGGGCGATCTCTTTATAGACCTTCTCATTTCGCGTACTGCCATCGAGCTCCTTCTGTATTCTGTCTTCGGCCAGTAAAGACAGAAATGTTTGGACCTCATCAACAGACCACGGTGTGGACTTTTGCGGCTTGCTGGATTCCATTTCTCGAGTGCAGTGCGTATGCTCACAGGGCAGTTTTAAAAATGGCGGGGTTGAATCTTGTCTCTCAATACGGTCAGACGTCGCACTTATGACGCTACCAGTGACGACAGTCGTTGGCCAATAGTGTGAGAGAGCCGTTGGCCAATAGCGTAGGCAGTCCGCTTACGTCACGAGCGTGTAGCTTTTTGGAACCGCTCCAGAGGCGGTCCGAAAATAGAACACAATACCTAGCTTCAACGCTAGTGGAAATGCAAAAGTAACGCGCCGTGTCGTGTAGAGTGGTGTAGTGCCGGTGCTGTGGAAAAGCGCCATTAGTTACTTTGGTCCCAGCTCTCTGCAGGTCATTCACCAGGCCACCAGGTCCCCTGGTGAGGTTCTGGTATTTTTGCTCAGCGTTCTTGTGATCATTTTGACCCAACGGGGTGAAATCTTGCTTGGAGCTCCAGATCGAGGGAGATTATCAGTGGTCTTGCATGTCTTCCATTTTCTAATAATTGCTCCAACAGTTGATTTCTTCACACCAAGCTATTGCAGATTCAGTCTTCCCAGCCTGGTGCAGGTCTACAATTTTGTTTCCGGTGTCTTTTGACAGCTCTTTCATGGAGTTTGGAGTGTGACTGTTTGAGGTTGTGGACAGGTGTCTTTCATATGATAACAAGTTCAAACAGGTGCCATTAATACAGGTAACAAGTGGAGGACAGAGGAGCCTCTTAAAAGAGTCACAGGTCTGTGAGAGCCACAAATCTTACTTGTTCGTGGGTGACCAAATACTTATTTTCCACCATAACTTGCAAATGCATTCTTTAAAAATCTGACAAAGTGATTTTCTGGAATTTTTTTTCTCATTCTCTCTCTTATAGTTGAGGTTTACCTATGATGAAAATTACAAGCCTCCCTCATCATTTCAAGTGGGGGAACTTGCACTATATAGATGGCTTACTAAACACTGTTTTGCACCGCTGTAATTACAATCTCACAAAGGGAAAAAACTAGATTATTGTAATTATTCTAGAATTCTTATCATGTGATGTAGGAGTAGTAAAAATAACTTTTTAAGTTATTTCTTGCTCATATAATTTATGAACAAGAGTACATGATATAACAGGTTTGAGAGCAATTAGTTTATAACATGAGACTGGAGGCAAAATACTTCAAAGTCCTTTCAGCTACATATATATGCCAATATATATGTGTGCTTATTTTATAGTTTTGTGCTGTCTTGACTTGCCCGATATATGATTTAAAACCAGAAACCAGAAAGACCAAAAAAGGTCTTAAATCACTTTCTGTTTAGGAACTCTAAAAGCAAGGGAAAAAAAATGTTTCTTACATTCCCCACCAGTTAATTTTAGTACATCTCTTTTGTAGTTTGAGTTCAATGCATGGCACTTTCAGCATTCTGAAGCTGTAGAGCACCATACTAGATATAGTATCATTCACATCCATGAGACACTGTTGGAACCTGGAAAAAGACATGGGCATGCAAAGGCATGCACAAAATCAGTGGCTTTAAAGACAATTAATATTAGGTAATTTAAACAAAATGTACTTCCTAAGCACTGTGGTTCATTTAAAAATATGTATTTTTGCTGACCCCTTGTTATCATTATTATTATTATTATCATATTTAATTTTATTTTAAAAAAACGTATTCTTTGTTGCTGTGGAATTGCACCCACCTCCGGTCACAGTCACAGTGAGATACTGTGAAGAAGTTTGGATTGAAGACTCCGTAGTTCACAGTGAAAGCAGGAATGACGTGTTGGCAATGGTCATGCTCTCGACAGCATAAGTCCGCCTTCTCAAACATCCCTGTAATGAACATAGTTTACACACTTCACTAAAACGTTTTATTTGATTCAGTGGGCAAATCTCTGTTCCAATTCAGCTTGTGTAGGTGGATGAAAAACTGCTGGATAAAATAAATATCTACCAAAGCATTGTTCTCACCAAGTTGATCATATCCAACAGCTTTGCTTCCAGTTCCACACCACAAAGTTCCCGGGAAAATCCAGGAGCGTTTCCTTCGTGCCTTTTCCTCTCCTCTGCCAACATCTTTACGCGCATCAGCCTTTACGCACGGCGCGTCCGGAGACTGTACTAGGCTCAAGTTAAATCGATGAGAGAGCCGCTCTTTCTCACCGCTCCCGCACTGGGACTTCTTGTATGTGTCTATGACCGCTGGATCGCTCATGACTCTGCACGACAGGAGCCGCATGTCCTCCGACCACAATGTTTTATACAGTGACACGTCTCTTTCTTCTTGAAGAAACGTGACCTGAGCGTGGCCTCGTCCAAAGTATCTTTCGGTGAGACAAGATAAGCTGCTACATCCCTTCACGAGTGTTTGTAGAGCAACGAAGTGTTGAATACAAACTACCCATCGAACAAGCATTTCAATACGATAAAAAATTATATTTTAAAGAAAATAAGGGTTGTAAATATAATCAAATGGAGGTATCCAGAGTGCACGCCGGTTAGGTAAAAGTCTGGTGGGAGAGACAGGCATGTGCGCCTTAGGGCCGGTGTGAAGTCTGCTGCCATTGGTCTGTTTCATGAAAGATGAAGAAAAGTGACGATGGTAAATTACAGGCCTGGCCCTGCTGCAGAAAGCACGCAGCCTTATAAAACTGTCTGCCAAAATAAAGACTAAAATGTGGAATATGAATACTGTAGATTCCTTTTGTAGAAATAAGAATTTATCTTAGGTCTATTATCCACATGAGGCGGCTGCAGCTGTGAGTGAGGTTGACCACAAAAGTAGATTTTAAATACATTTTATTGGTCTGTGTAAACTCTGCAAAAGTGTTTACATGCACAGTTTCTGCAAACGTACAATCTTTCATTTCATGCACGTCTTATTTACATTGACAGATGTAGCAAACATTCAATTCAACTAGCAGAATCAACTTAAAAGAGCCTACAAAACATGAAAGGAAAATATCTATAATGTTGAATGTGAGACGTTGCAAGAAACCAGTTGATTGTACAGGAAGAGAGAGAGAGAGATCTGCTACTTAAAGACATTACACTTGTTAGTGTGCTGTTATTTATGACCTCTGTTTGTTTTTGTTTTTTTTAGATCAGATTCAGACAATACTGTATCAATGCAGTCATGCTAAAATATTGCAGGAACATGATGGGGTTGTGTAAACATAGACTTACAATAGCATTATTTCTAGATATCTTGAACCACAAGACATTCATGCATAGGGTTTGAAAACAGTTGTATAAATTGAGGTTGTTACACGTTCTAAGTGTGCTTTCCTTTGTTTTACTGTAATTAAAAAGCACATATTGAAGCCTCAAATGATTGGGGTGTGGCAGAGGAGAGATAGCCCTGCTTTGTGCAAATTATTGGGACAGAAGCGGCCCACAACTGCCCTATAGGCACACGGAAACACAAGCACAGTGCATGCAGGTAAAGCTGCACACTGAGACAGCCTATCCCTGCTCAAGCTTCAGATCAGAGCAGCAGTAAAGAAGTAGTAAGAAACCTGATCACATGTACTGTATTTAGAAGTAGAAAACCTCAAATTTAGTCGTCTTTGTCACCAGTTCTCACTCTTATATATTAAGATAACATTAAATTAAGTTTTATAATGAAACAACTACTACTTTTCACAAAGAAAACATCCCAACTATTTATACGTATAAAGCCTACTTTATGTGCTATAACCGTAATTTAACAGCAAATGGTAATCTAGCTCATGGTCCACATTTAATAAAAATCACCTGCACACCAGATGACTTTATCTATTCTAACCTGAGCAATGTATTTTTTTGTAAACATTTCTTTATGGAAACAGCCTGTTATGTACAGTGAGTGTGACTTGGCATGCCTATAATTTAAGAGTTTAAAATACAGTGATGTGAATGTATATGATAGTTTAAAACAGGCAAGAGCTCAGCCAAGGCCTCTTAATGAAGGGTCAGAACTCTACATTTCAGCATATTGCTTTCCTTTGACTGTACCAGTAAAATCAGACCATCATTTGTTTTTTTTTCATCAATGAGCATATAAACTTCAGTAGAATAAGTAACACTGGTGACAGGCAAAGCGGTCATTGTGCAGCTATTTACTGGTGTAGTGTTTACTTGCTATCCTGTTTACATTAATAAACAATCAGTGTTTCTAAAAGGATTTGTCCCAGAGGCATAAACTATAAACTTGAATAATGTTCTCATATGACCGTGGAACTAAGTGAGAAAAATAATGCAAAAAGTGCGGCAGGGTGTGATTTTAAACTTTGCAGATGACAGTCAGAATGTAGAGTGACTGGTTAATCACTAGATACATGATTTTCATTTAACAAGGTGTGCCAACGCTCAATCTTCTTGTCCTTATTCTTCAGACATTCATACCAGTGCTTGAGTTGTTCCCCTTTCGCAGTAATACCCAACTGACATCCACCTGAAAAATTTGAAATTAAAAATGTTAGTAAGGTCTGCATCAGTATATAAAACAGCTAAAAGTTGTGATTCACTGTATACCTATGTAATCATTGGCCTTTCCGATATCATAATCCCACACAGACACATCCAGGCTCTTCTTGGCAAGTTCACTGTGCTTGATATCATAGCTGAACTCCTAAATGTAACCATGCCACATATTGAAGAACACATGATAGGTTGCCCAGTGTCATAATTATACACATTCTGCGGCGGTTTCCATCACCAACCTCATTAAACTCTGGATTCAATGTCCTCTTCTTGATCTGTGTTTTGGACTTGCCTTTTTTCCCCATGTCCGGTTTGAGACAACTGTAACATGTATATGACAATATTCACTTTCAGTCAATTGCTTGAATTTTTTGATTGCATATTTAATTGTCCTACATTTTGACATAAGGGTCAGAGTAGCCATTGGCATCCATAGCAGCTAGATGAACGCAGCGCACAACGCCAACAATGAGACGGTTGAGTTGTGTGCTGTACATGAGAGAAATGAGGATCCGTCCACGTTCTTCTGCTTCAACCCCATCTTTCCCTGTCTGTAAAAGAGAAGTAATTATGAAGAGGTATTCGTAATATGAAGAGTAATATACACTCATGTTGAAACAGGCCAAACTGAAAGCATTGCCTCATCTTCATAAAGAGCTATGCCCCTGGCTGATCCAGCTGTTGCAGTCTTCTTGGTCTGCACAGACAATAAAATTACAGAATTCAGTCACTTTTACAGTAAGTAAGTAAGTAAGTAAGTTTTTATTTATATACCGCCTTTTCACTGCAGATCTGAGTCTCAAAGCGGTTTACAATTGTTATTATTTTTAGGGCATTTGTCCTCTCACTCCACACAGAGATGGGAGCGGGGTCGCCAGTACAGGAGGCGCATGCTAGAACTATTGGACATATTTTTAGTGGTAGGGGAAACCGGAGTACCCGGAGGAAACCTACGCAGACACGGGGAGAACATGCAAACTCCACTCAGAAAGGCCGTGGTCCGACCGGGATTCGAACCCAGGACCTTCTTGCAGAGAGGCGAGAGTGCTATCCACTCAGCCACAGTAATTCAGTAACTTTCTAATACTCACTGGGACCACTCTCTCCAGACACACGTTGAAATTCTTCTTCTGGTTCATCTTCAGTTTCTTCAGAGCCACTCTAGTTTCACCAATAAACTCATTATGTCCAAACTTGTCTTCATCGCAAACAGACAGCCTGCAAAAATGAAATGGCAGCTTCAAAAGTATGGACTTGTTTAACAGAATTATGGATGTGAGAACTTTTCAAAGAAGAGTACAAGGCGATCATTCTGATTGATTTGATTTGAAATTGTTTGGAATTTTTTTTTATCTACCTAAGAGTCTTGCGTTGCATGTCCTCATCTGTCAGTCCGTGATATGTGAGCGTCTCATTCCACACAGGGTTGCGGGTATTTCTAAGTGTTTTTGTTCGCAGCTTTGTAGACTGGATAACAATAAGCAAATTGAAAGATTAGGTTATTAGGAACAGCCAACATAACTTGAGACATGTTGCATTTTCTCAACAGAGAATATTTTCATACAAGAATTGTTGTGAACCAGGAGCTAATAATGCCAATATTTTTGTATTATTACATAAAAGGTATTAAACCATATTATATGCATACCATGCAAATAATAAATCACTCCCGGGAAAGTTAATAGTCTAAGACATGCATTGAATCTTAATAATGTTAAATGGATGACACCTATATACTAATGATGCAAATCAAAAATACACAGTAAATGATTGTGAGTAACCCACTTCAACCAGTAGATGGCAGACTTGAGGTTGCCGGTCTTTTACAAACCACAGCATTCTAATTTTGCCCTCCTTTCTACTTGGTGGGATATTTCTCACATGAATATTTGAAAACGCACAATCAAAAGGGAAATGGCTGCTCCATTACCTTACTGGCTCCTGGTAGAAGATGAAGTTTGACATAAGGATCTGCCAATCCATTCGAATCCATTGGTTTTAGTCCCTTTAAAGAAAAACAATTAATACATAAGACAAGACATAACCAAAAGAATCCCTCAGAAAAGCTTTTAATAGCATCGCCCCTAAGTGCATGGACAAAGAGGTACCTTTGCTTTGAGGATGCTACAATGGAGGCTGTTGCTTTCCTGATCGTAGTGAAGGCCGAATTCCATAGAGCCAAGAGTCGCTGAAAGGGCCCCAGATCAATCATTACATCCAACTACCACAATGACGTTTGAAACAAATGGATTCATTTACTCAATCAAACGTATTGCGGTTAATATATAAGAACATCAAAAGTTCTTTATCTGTTTGTGCAACTTTTAATTTATTAAACAATTCAGGATCTTACCAAGAACAGGGAAAACAAGTCGACATCTCTATAAAGTTAGAATGGAATTGGGTTAAAGAAATGCTGCGGGCTTGTGTTTGGCGTGCATACTCAGCACTTGGGGGAGCATTTGAAATACAGTGTTATTTGTTTATTGCAGCATGAATCTTCTTGTTCAAACATAATCATCACTGAAACTGGTGACTTAATTCTAGGAACAAGCATATGACACCTCGACTAAACACTGGGGACCAAGCAAATCACAATGAGAATGTAAATCCTGTTAGCAAGAATAAAGACAGAATTTGCGCAGACTTGCATTCTGTGACAGAAGATCTAAAAATAATTAAACACCCAAGAGAGGAAAACAGTTTTAGTAATAGCTGCTATATAGTTTCCATTGTTATGATGATGATATGTTGTATAATATTTTAGTATACAACAGTAGATACTGAAATCAGACCATAGAATTACTACTCAGTCCAAGGCAAAGCAAAGATATTGTTAAATAACAAAAATTGGAAGTTGAGACTCAAAAAGACAAATGTTCATAGTAGTTAGGAGTATTGTAGTTAACGCACAATTTGAAAAGATACATTATGTTTTGTTTCGTAGCTTGGATTAGCTTATTGAGCCAATAGAACTAGAACTTTCCCTGTAGTTCTACAAATTATGTATTATTTTTATAAAAACAATACAATCAATACTATTTCAATATATCTTTCTCCAGACGTGTTTAAAGTACTCACTGGCTTCGTCAGAGTCGTAGTCATTGGCCTCCTCCTCATCCTCTGGGGGAGGCTGCCGGACTGGAGGCTGCCTCCTCTCTGCAGCAGGGGGCAGTCTTTGCTCAGAAGAGTACAGCCCTGTTTCTCCAGCTATTGAACCTACAAAGACGTCCAATCATGTGTGACAAGTACAACTACACAACTGGTGATGTGATCTTTTATGAATAATTGATCATTCAACGAGGAGATGTATGCGGTTTTCAAGTGGTTTCTCACCATGTTGAGCTGAAGCAGCTGAGGCCCTGGAGCTATGAACAGGGACCATCTTCTTCATCACCACTGGACTTGACTGTCCCACTTCTTCAGCACCTGCTCCACCTGTGGTCATGCGAGCCACTGAGGGCTTTGGGGCTACTGGTGGGTAACCAGTACGACTGTGTGGTGATTGACCTTAAAATCAGAAATAAACACAAATAGACACATCAAGGGGGTGCAATAGACGACTACTAATGCAGTTGAAATACCAAGACTCTGAACAATCTAATGAAGGCATTGACCTACATAGTCTGAAGCAATGCTCTGTACTAGGCAAGCATACATCGTTCTGTCTGCTCTTGTTACCTCTTCATCAAAACATGCTACACCAGAATGTAATCCTAAAAATGGAAATGATAGGATATGACCCTTCATGCCAGCCACCCCTGGAGGCTCTTCCTGAGGCACAGCATGCACGTTTCTGCAGGTTAGTTTGCTCCTCTCATCTCGTTGCAGCAGCAGTGCTGTGCAAATATGGGAGGGCCAAAAGGGTCGGGCAGGAGAGTGAGCGGTGAGTTTGGGAGGAGAAAGGTCAGTAAAGGTCTAATGCAGATATAATGACGATGAGTTTTAAAGAAAGGAAGTCAGGTATGTAAAAGCATTGCACAATGCATTGCATTATGCTGTTAACTTGCCTGGACCATCTTGGTCAGAAGTTTCCTCTGATGGGAATAAATATTGTAATAATAACATACATTACCACATGAAAAAGAATATTCAAAAATATTGCACACTCCTGCTGTGAGGGTAAACATACAACATCACGACTACTAAGTTATTACTACAACTACTGTACTTCCTCCTCAGTATTCCTAGTACAAATATTTTGTATTATTACAAACCAACCTGGTGGACGTTGTGTTTGAGGTGGTTCCTCTTTTGGCTCAGAGGTGGGTGGAACTTTGCTCTCTGCTTTTGCTGCTGCTGGAGCAGGCTCATCTTTTGATTTGGACAAAGGCATTGGAGCAGGGAGGAAATGCTTCGGGAAGCCTTTAAAGAACCAAGCACCAGACCTCTTCCACACCTGAGGAGGGAGAATTGTTATGTGTAATGGGCCTTTCCCTGTGTTTTTGCGCAGTGTACCTCTCTCTGTTCCTTGCAGATCTTGCATACCCACACAGCATGTGGTTTGCTGCTACACTGTGTACCACACTTAGTACACATGCTCTACACGACAGAAAGGAAAAACAGAGTTACATCTGTTCACAACTGAAACACACGAAACAACAAACAGAGGAACATCGAAAGTTTTGCACCTTTTTGCAGTCTTCACACACCACTGAGCTGACCCCAGCTGAGCCCAGCTGCTCTCCACACACCAAACAACGGGACACACCATCTCCACAAACCGTCTTCTTCATGTCATCCAAGTTATTAATCAGGCGCCTGAAACAAACAAATTTATACAGCAACACATTTACAACTTAAAACAGGGGTAACTAATTTTCAAACCACAATAATGTAACTATATAGAGTTTTTCCTTGCCGATGCAGGAGGGCCTAAGGACAGGGGAGATGATCCAGGACATTTAACATTCAACAACATTTATGTACATTGGTCATATGGACAAATGGGTCTATGTGTTTATAATCATTGCATTTCCTGTAATTTAACTGTTTTATGCTATGATCTGTGTTGGCGAATCAACAGTTTTGTGAAGTCCTCCGAGATAACTACTGTTGTGATTTAGGGCTATACAAAAATAAATGTAATTGAATTGAAATCCAGGTAACAATTTTCTTATTCTAAAATATTTTGATTCTATCTTATTATTTATGTAACGAGTATATTAGGCACTCCAGCTTTGACAAGTTATGTAAGTATTAAAAAACCACAATAAAACTAGTATAGTATAACATTTATAGTAGCATGTTTTCACAAATTAATAAAAAAATACATTTTGAACTAATTTGTCATGCAGATATAACACAATTCAACAAGATCTACCCAATTCTCTCTTGTTCCATGGCCTCCATTTTCTCAGCGCGGGCAATTACACTGTTGATAATCTCCTTCTCTTCATCTGTTAGGTCTGGACCTGAACCAGGACCTTGCTGCATGGTCCAGTTCTCCCTATGAGCCAAACAGTCTCCAGTTTAGTAACAGCTTTATGATGCTGAAATGTATTTGAAGTCAGAATTTGTATGCATTATTTTGCAGAAAACAAATTTGTAAAAGCACAAAAATCCAATGTACATAGATAATACTTACTGTTCCTTATTGCTGCATAATTGTGATACAATTTAAGGAAAAACAAGGCCACATTTTAGTCAGTAATTATTCATTAAAATAACCCAAACGATTAAAATGCTTACCTTGAATGCATCCCCCTTTGTCTATCGTTAGAGACCCAGCGATCTGGACCGCTTCTCACGGTGTCGGTCATTGCTGCTCCGTCAAAACCTGCAAAAGAAAAAAAAAAAAGCCAATACAATTAATAATTATTTTGTTTACGCTGCGTCGACCAAGCTTTCCTGAATAAGGGAAAAAAACTGGCACCGAATGTGTGAGCCAAGATGGTGCAGAAACCCAACTGGCATTTTCCCAAATATCTTTTCAAGTAATCACTGTCTATAAATGGAGGGTCAAGCAATGATCCATAAACCTTTGCCACAATCACACATTCAAGATTGATATTTGGCTTATATATATATAACATCAATCCCATCTCATCTTTCCTCTTCATCTTTTTGCATCATTTAATTGAAACCTTTCTTGCCAATATACTGTACCAAGAGCTGGCTAAGCAGATGCCTTTGCCAATTTTTAAAAGTAATCAGCAGGAGATTCACTTACAAAACTGTTTTTTACAAAATCTTTTCCCTCTTCATTTTCAGGAAACAGCTTTATAGCACAGTGAATGCATGTTAGGATATAGCGTCTCTTGACCAGAAGGAAAGTGGGTGGTCTTGGCTCTTTTGGGTTTTAGTGACAGTGCTTCAGCAGGTCAGGTTAAATGGAGGAGGAGAGGCTTATTATTAGAGAGGAAATTTCTTATGAAACTGCTTCCCTGAATGAACATCTTTTGAGCATAGAAAAGTTGAAAAGAAAAAAAATGAAAGCAGAGGGTGCAATTGACATGATTTTTTCCTATGGGCAACATAACACGGTAATTGTTAGTTGTTGGTCATTTGATCCTACAGGTTCCTTCAACAGCTTCACCTGCTCATCTCGCAATGTTTTACAGTATAGCATTAAGCTGATCTACTATTAAGTTATTTTTGTTGGTCAAATATCATTATTGAACACAATGAAGGTAATCATGATCATGCATGACGCTTCACTGGCACTATTAATTCTTTCAATGCTACTAGTACAGTCGCCACAGCTGGGGCAGGCTGACAAAAGCAAGGCAACTGCACACTCCGGACTCATACTAGGCAATGGGGGTGACGTGTCTTGCCTTAGTAAAAGTGACTGATTGGCACTTTAGATCCACAGCCTCATAGTGTTCCCAGAGGTCTCCCATTATAGTACTAGCCTGCTTGTTATTTACTGTATAATAGTGAACCCTGTATAATGGAATTTCACCAGTATTGAAGCAATGGAAGTTTTTCAAGTCTACAGATAGTGAAGACATTCTGCAGTATTTGTAAACATAAGACCGGAAATAACGTCTGGGAACAATGCCCAGGCCTAATAATCACAGTCAGTGGAGGTACTTTGGGATGTAGAGCTATAAAGGTGTCAGGAACCTTATGAAAATCTTTTGCATTTAATACTACATCATCTCCAAACCGTGTCTGCCTTGTGTTTCTGACTAGGATGTCCCCTTTGGCCAATTTCTACTAAAAGACGTACTTCTCCAGTGGAAGCGGAAGAAAAAACGTTTCTGGCTAAATTAAAGTGTAAAGGGGAACAGAAATCACTACTAACCACGAGCAAGTGTAAGCCAGTTTCTCTACACTGAGCAATTGAATTAAGGCAGTTTCAAGACTCTATCCATCAGTCTGACAATACAAAGAGTTGTACTGCGGCACTGGCCCGAGGATACGCTGTATGTCCTAAGGGGAGTCAGTGAAGACCTGCCATTGCCTCAAAGTAAGAATGTCATCCACTCAGCAGCAGCTCAAACCCCCTGGGAACCACTCAAATACTGGGAGTGAGGGTGGAGGCTGGAAGAGCAGTTAATACAGGTGCCAGAGACAAAGAGGTGATCAAGATGCATAATTATAGGAGAAAATCAATAAGATCTACTTCAGGAGAATGGAGAGGAACAGTTTTACATACCAGCAAATCTAATTTAGTGCACAGCCTGTGGACTAACGGAATAATATCACATTTGCTGCGCTATCAATAGACACAATACTGCAACCGTCCGACAGTAGTGCAAAGAAGCGAGATGGTCTTTTGGGAACATACCCACTTTTCAACAGTGCTGTGACAGTTAAGACAAGTGTGGAGTTATTTTATACACAGCATCAATTAACTATAGACCTTTTTGTCTCAGGACCATTCGGATGAAACATAATGAAGCATGAGGATAGCTTGTGTTAGGCCTGTGCAAATCACATCTGTCAGTGCAAGTTCTGTGGATGTACGACATGCGATTTCATCAGGAACATTGACTTTATGAGCTTAAAGCCAAGGCACCAAGGCAGGCTTTTATTTAGAATTAAAACAAACACAACACACATTTTGCTCATAAAAAACATGGAAATGGTCAATAGTAATTTCTTATGTATTAGTGAAAATATGTAAATATCTATCATCTTTAACATTCATGAAATGTATGGCAGTCTCTACATGTAAAATCTTGATCCTGTCAGATTTCAGAAGCTAAGCAGGGAAGTTCTTGGTTTGTACTGTGATGGGAGACCGCATGAGAACACCAGGTGCCAGGGTGGGGTGCCAGACTGTTGTTGTGTCCTTAGGCAAGACACTTCATCCACATAGCCCAGTAAGAGTCTGGTGTGTGTGCAAGAGGAATTTGTGGTGTTCAAAAAACCCGATGGTACAGAATCTATCAGTCTGCCCCAAGGCAGCTGTGGCTACAAATAAAGCTTACCACTACTGTGTAAGCTTAAGTTAGTGGATAGCACTATTGCAGGGGTGGCCAACCTGCGGCTCGTGAGCCGCATGCGGCTCTTTGGCTGGTTCCGTGCGGCTCTCGGGCTTTCACAGACAAACGTCAAAAAGGCCTCGGTGGTGGCGCTGCCATTCAATCCCTATGTAGTTCTGACCCATAGTAAAGGCCGACTCCACTCCACTAGCCGGGCCGCCAAAACAATCTGACGTCGGCGAACGTCAATTCTGATTGGTCAGATGGGCTGTCAATCACTCTGCAGCTATGCTGCCTCAGCTGTTGCAAACAACATAACAAACAACACGTTTGTTATGTTCGACCCATGATGTCCGTACAGAAAACTATTCCTTGGTCGCTGGATGAGGGCAACACCTTCCTCAGTTTTAGGAGAGAACACCAGCGTGAGCTCGATGGTTCCACCAGAAACCATAAGGTGTTTGTAGAGCTAGCGCTAAGGACGGAGCAGAATGATTCCCACTAACATCACAGTGTAGAGAAAAGTTAAAAAGCTTAAAAGATCACAAGAATGAAAGATCACAGCAGCTGAAGTAGAGCACCGAAAAGTCTGGAGGTGGTTCGACCGAATGGATTAAATTTACGGACATCGGCTTTGTACTGTATGAGTCAATTTCTGTCATTATCATGTTGGTGTGTGACATTTACAATAAATCTGTCTGAGCAGAGGTGTGTGTGTGTAAGGGATGGGGTGATGTTTATGTAGTGCACATTTGTATGATGTGGCTCTTTGCTGTAACACAGTAAAAAATTGGCTCTTAGTCTCTGACTGGTTGGCCACCCCTGCACTATTGCTTCTCAGCAAGAAGGTCCTGGGTTTGAATCCCGGTCAGAACAGGGTCTTTCTGAATGGAGTTTGCATGTTTTCCCTGTGTCTGCGTAGGTTTCCTCCGGGTGCTCCGGTTTCTCCTACCACTAAAAACATGCACAATAGGTATAATAATAATAATGCATTGGTTTTATATAGCGCTTTTTTGGACACTCAAAGACGCTTTACATGTCATTATTCTTTCACTCCATACACAGTGGTTTTAAACTACTACTGTAGCCACAGCTGCCCTGGGGCACACTGACAGAAGCGAGGCAACCAGTATGTGCCATCGTACTCATTCTAGGCAATGGGGGTAAAGTGTCTTGCCTAAGGACACAACGGCAGTTTGGCACTTTACAGCCGCAGCCGCCCCACGGTGGCTGGTGTTCCCAGAGGGTGTCTTGCCAAGGACACCATTGACAGTGGGAGTTGATGGTTGATGGAGGGCTCGAACCCAGGACCCTCTGGCTCAAAGGCCAATGCTCTACCAACTGAGCTACTGTCGCCTCTTAAGGTATGAATGTAAATGAGAGAGTGAATGGATGGTGATGATTGGGGGCTGATGCGCCAGTGTGTTCGGCGACTCGCCTCCGTCATCACCGTGTGTGGAATGATTGGAACAATATCTGAACTCGTGAATATTGTAAAGCGCTTTGGGTGACCTTTGTCTGTAAAATGCGCTATATAAATAAACATTACTTATTTACTTACCAAGTCACCTATCAGCTACCTATTTTGGGGACCGTTTTTCCCATTAAAATACTGCATGTTGCTTTAATCACTTTTTATAATTTCGATACCTATAAATGAGCCTGTGTGGAAAAAAGGAAGCTGATTTTCAGTCTTGAGAATCCAGAAAATAAGTATTAACAAAGAAACATTGACAAGGAAATTATATTCGAACTGCTTTATGTTTTATGTCCCCCCCTTTTCTATTGGTCGAGAAACAAAATACAACTTCAGTATACACATATTATTTCATAATTAGAATATATTTTATGGTTTAGTGATACACCTTGTGAATTATATTTTTGGAATTAAAATAATAACATCTCAATGAATAATTTACACTCCATGAACCGTAGCAGACAATTTGTTTTGTTGTGTGGTCTATTAAGCAATGCATATGCACATTATCAAGATTGGGCTCCAGTACATCTTTTAACAATTATATCCAACCGCCTGTGGGACCAAATGTCACGGTAAGCCTTGTTATCACATAAAGTTATGACTTCGGTCTCAACCTTTTTCGTTTTTTAGAGTTTTACAGTAGTCCCCTTTGCGTAATCGGTGAATGTGCCATGATGACACTGTCATCTCCTTCATGTTTTCCAACAGAAGATGACTCAGTCCGGTGGCAACGTTTCCAGCTCGGGAGAGCTGCTGGTATTTTCAATGTCACAGAGTGTAACGACAATTTAATGTGGGAACCCACATATGGGAACCGTGATTCTGGTAAGTAGAAAATAATAATAAATTATGGGAAACAATAACATAATATTGTTTCCAGCAATTTCCAATACTAAAGAAATAGAAAAGTTGAAACAAAAATTGGAAATAATCTATTCAAACGTAATGTGATCCTATAGTAAGTATTTACTAGTGAGCAGAAACTAGGTGAGACTTTCTTTATAAATGAAAACCCTTTTTTTTCTGTTGACTATATGTATGCTGATTAAACTACATAAACAAAAGCCATTATAGCCAAATTCTTCATGATAACATCTATTCTGCATAGTTATCAAGCTTACTATTCAATCTGATAAGTCAGCAAACTGAGCTAGTATGCTAATGATCGAACATGCTAAAATTATGCTCAAGAATTCAGAATTAGTGACAGGAATCTTGGACCTTGGTTCATGTACTTAGCTGGAAGAGAATTGGAGAAACCATGCGGCACACAAACCATAAAAGTTGCAATAATGTGGTGTTTTATGATCCAGGCCCTTGTGTGCTGCAGGTGGCCACATCAGCCCCTGCTACTCTGATCATGGCAGCTGGGAGCTGCTGGGCTCACCGTTTATCAGACTCTGCTGGACCAGCTGCCGCATGGGTCCCAGAATGCCCAACCTTGTTTTGTAGTTTTAAATTTGTCTTTTATTTCATGCACCACACTCCTATATCACAAACGCACTGCACTATTGACACCACTCACACATTTTCTTCTGCTTTATCTTTTGGTGAACAGCAGTTTGAGCAGACAGCAAGACTTCCTTATTCACCCAAACTTCATCATTCAGGGGAATCATGAGGCATTCCCAGGGCTGCCTAGAGACATAGTCCCACCAACGTGTCCTCGGTCTTTCCCAGGTGTTCTTCCCATGTCCGGCACCACTCCAGGACACATCCAAAACAGATGCCAGAGCCACCTCAACAGGCTCGAGCCTGAAGAAGCAGCGGCTCTACTCTGAGCTCCTCTTGTGTGCTCCTCACCCTATCTCTAAGGGAGCGCCCAGCCACACTGCTCATGACCATAGGTGAGGGTGGGACCGTATATTGACCGGGAAAAAAAGGCAGGAATTATTATGTATGACCTCAGCACCTGCAACATATGATTAAGCACTGTTCAGTCTGTCCATGTTCAGAGTTTATCCTCTATCTGCAGATACAAAACACTGGCAACTCATGGCTCATGGCTCAAATGTTGTGACCTAATAGATAGATAGATAGATACTTTATTGATCCCCGTAGGAGAAATTCAGGTGTCCAGTAGCAGCAATACTAAAATAAAATGTATCATTCTAAAAACATAATAATAGTAATAATCAGCAACAACCCTTTAGGTCACAGCAGCATAGGTGGAGTAGCCTCTGGGTGGAGCAGAACGGGTCACAGCAGCACAGATGGAGTAGCCTCTGGGTGGAGCCTTGTTATCACATAAAGTGACCCTAACCCTAAATCTAATATACTGTGTCTTTAAAATAGTTGATATTTGATCCCGAGCTCTATACTAAATAAAAAATACTGTTTCAAGAAAATGTAAGAGAGAGTGTGTGAGTCATTACTACCCACATTACGACTGTATATGAGACCACGAAGCATCGCTCATATATCAGTACGATCAATGCATGTAAGTCAACCACGATTCTATAGAACTTCTTCTGAGGCTGGAGAGCTTGATTTAGAAACCTACTTTCTCAAGGCAGGGCTAAAATCAATACAAATCTGCATGCATGCTTCAGGGTAACAAATGCATATTAGGCCGAATCTTTTCTACTGTATATCCATTTTTAGAAGCAAGGCAATGCCAGGGCACTTGAAGTCAACGCTCAGCATGAGTAACCAGCCTAATGTCTTTCCAGTCACTCTCACCAGTGATTGCTGCTGCTGACAGTTACAGCAGCAGGTATATGAGTCATTACTGCAGAACATATGACTGTAGGCCTGTTTTTTGTCTCCTCCCTTATTTGAATCAATGACTATTCTGTTGTTGTATTCATGAGAATGAGTCGGTGACATCTAACAGCCAACCAGCAAGAATTGATGGATTGATTATGCATGGTTCATTTTGGAGAAGGGGCAAATATTTAAAGGGGGATGGGAAAAAGGGAGAGGCTTCTTCTTTTCTCAGATCAGCAAAATGTTAAAATGCCCAAGAACATTGAATTTATACATTATCTTGCGCAAGCCAGAAATGTAGTCCACACACTTGCACAGAGCAGCTCTGAGTCCATATGAGAGTCACGAGATTGTGTCACTTATGTCCTATGTAAAACACGCACATCCCATTTAACTGTCCTATTTGATTACAATGACATTAAAATTGATGTCGTACTCTTCTATTACATGACACAAATTCCCATGTCAATTTTCAAAGAGGCCATTTCTAAAGTGGGTTAATGAAAAAGAGATCAATGCAAAATACAGTGCCTTGCGAAAGTATTCGGCCCCCTTGAACCTTTCAACATTTCGCCACATTTCAGGCTTCAAACATAAAGATATAAAAATTAAATTTTCTGTCAAGAATCAACAACAAGTGGGACACAATCGTGAAGTGGAACAAAATTTATTGGATAATTTTAACTTTTTTAACAAATAAAAAACTGAAAAGTGAGCCGTGCAATATTATTCGGCCCCCTTGCGCTAATACTTTGTAGCGCCACCTTTTGCTGCAATTACAGCTGCAAGTCGCTTGGGGTATGTCTCTATCAGTTTTGCACATCGAGAGACTGGAATTCTTCCTTGCAAAACAGCTCGAGCTCAGTGAGGTTGGATGGAGAGCGTTTGTGAACAGCAGTCTTCAGCTCTTTCCACAGATTCTCGATTGGATTCAGGTCTGGACTTTGACTTGGCCATTCTAACACCTGGATACATCTATTTGTGAACCATTCCATTGTAGATTTGGCTTTATGTTTTGGATCATTGTCCTGTTGGAAGATCTCAGTCTCAGGTCTGTTGCAGACTCCAACAGGTTTTCTTCCAGAATGGTCCTGTATTTGGCTCCATCCATCTTCCCATCATCTTTAGCCATCTTCCCTGTCCCCGCTGAAGAAAGGCAGGCCCAAACCATGATGCTGCCACCACCATGTTTGACAGTGGGGATGGTGTGTTCAGGGTGATGAGCTGTGTTGCTTTTACGCCAAACATATCGTTTTGCATTGTGGCCAAAAAGTTCGAATTTGGTTTCATCTGACCAGAGCTCCTTCTTCCACATGTTTGGTGTGTCTCCCAGGTGGCTTGTGGCAAACTTTAAACGAGACTTTTTATGGATATCTTTGAGAAATTGCCTTCTTCTTGCCACTCTTCCATAAAGGCCAGATTTGTGCAGTGCACAACTGATTGTTGTCCTATGAACAGACTCTCCCACCTCAGCTGTAGTTATCTGCAGTTCATCCAGAGTGATCATGGGCCTCTTGGCTGCATCTCTGATCAGTCTTCTCCTTGTTTGAGATGAAAGTTTGGAGGGACGGCCGGGTCTTGATAGATTTGCAGTGGTCTGATACTCCTTCCATTTCAATATAACTGCTTGCACAGTGCTCCTTGAGATGTTTAAAGCTTGGGAAATCTTTTTGTATTCAATTCCGGCTTTAAATTTCTCCACAACAGTATCTCGGACCTGCCTGGTGTGTTCCTTTGTCTTCATGGTTCTCTCTGCGCTTTAAACAGAACCCTGAGACTATCAAAGAGCAGGTGCATTTATACGGAGACTTGATTACACACAGGTGCATTCTATTTATCATCATCAGTCATTTAGGACAACATTGGATCATTCAAAGATCCTCACTGAACTTCTGGACTGAGTTTGCTGCACTGAAAGTAAAGGGGCCAAATAATATTGCACGCCCCACTTTTCAGTTTTTTATTTGTTAAAAAAGTTCAAATTATCCAATAAATTTTGTTCCACTTCACGATTGTGTCTCACTTGTTGTTGATTCATGACAAAAAATAAAAATGTTATATCTTTTATGTTTGAAGCCTGAAATGTGGCAAAATGTTGAAAGGTTCAAGGGGGCCGAATACTTTCGCAAGGCACTGTACCTCAATGGAGTTGACTGCAATATATCTTCAATCATGGCTTGAGCTTAAGTGCGAAGAATTTGCCCTGAAGCCCTCTTGAACCTGCCCCACGTCATTTATTGGTGGCTCTTAGCTCAAATCAGCAATGTATTCAGAAAGATAGAAGAACGCTTCCTGGACCTCACTTGCTGGAATGGAAGCCAGTATGCTCTTTGGTGAGGAGATTGTCAATTTATTCAAATACCAAGGCACCCTTTTATTCAGTAAAATGCCTTTATAATGTATTGTATTGTTTTGTTTGATTGCTTGCATCAGTAGTTGCACAACCAGGGGTGAGCGAACGCCTTGGGGTTTACAAGGGTATTACACTAGTTACTTTGAGGTTAATATTGACTACTTGAACCTCATCTTAAAGGTAATCTTCTCAAGAAAACAACAATAATTGATTATATTCTAAACATTGAGCATTGAATTATTGATTATTATGAGATCAATAATAGTTGGTCTATCATTCTTAAGCTTCTATCTTTCTTAAATTTCAATTTCTGCACTCCCATTGAACATACAGAGAAGGGACATTGAGCACTCATACAATGAATGTTCTGTAACTGTTAACTGTACTGGACATGCAACACTCACAGTGGGGCAAAAAAGTATTCAGTCAGTCACCAATAGTGCAAGTTCTCCCACTCAAATAGATGAGGGAGGGCTGTAATTTTCATCATAGGTATCTCAACTATGAGAGACAGAATGAGAAAAAAAAACAGAATATCACATTGTCTGATTTTTAAAGAATTTATTTGCAGACAAGTAATATTTGTGGCTCTCACAAATATTACTCCTTTAAGAGGCTCCTCTGTCCTCCACTTGTTACCTGTATTAATGGCAACTGTTTGAACTCATTATCAGTATGAAAGACACCTGACCACAACCTCAAACAGTCACACTCCAAACTCAACAATGGCCAAGACCAAAGAGCTATCAAAGGACACCAGAAACAAAATTGTAGACCTGTACCAGGCTGGGAAGACTGAATATGCAACAGGTAAGCAGCTTGGTGTGAAGAAATCAACTATGGGAGCAGAAAATGGAAGACATACAAGACCACTGATAATCTCCCTCGATCTTTGGCTCCATGCAAGATCAAGGTCAAAATTATCACAAGAACGGAGAGCAAAAATCCCAGAACCACACAGGGGGACCTAGAGAATGACCTGCAGAGAGCTGGGACCAAATCAACTGTGGCTACTACAGTAACACGCTACTACACAGTCAGGGACTCAAATCCTGCAGTGGCAGACGTGTCCCCTGCTTAAGCCAGTACATGTCCAGGCCCGTCTGAAGTTTGCTAGAGAGCATTTGGATGATCCAGAAGAGGATTGGGAGAATGTCATATCAACTCAACTCGTCATGTTTGGAGAAGAAAGAATGCTGAGAACACCATGCCTACTGTGAAATATGGGGGTGGAAACATCATGCTTTGGGGCTGTTTTTCTGCAAAGGGACCAGGATGATTGATCTGTGTAAAGGAAAGAATGAATGGGGCCATGTATTGAGATTTTGAATGCAAACCTCCTTCCATCAGCAAGGGCATTGAAGATGAAACATGGCTGGGTCTTTAAGCACAACAAAGATACCAAACACACCCCCCGGAAAACAAAGGAGAGGCTTTGCAAAAAGCATTTTAAGTTCCTGGAGTGGCCTAGCCAGTCTCCAGATCTCAACCCCATTGAAAGTCTTTGGAGGGAGTTGAAAGTCCATGTTGCCCAGTGACAAAAATCATAATGTAATTTTCTGGATTTGTTTTCTCATTCTGTCTCTGAAAATTACAGGCCTCCCTCATCTTTTTAAGTGGAAGAACTTGCACATTTGGTGGCTGACTAAATACTTTTTTGCCCCACTGTATCTGTCTGGGGTGAAACAGGCTTAGCCTGCCCTAGCCATCCGTAAACTCTGGTCAATTATTATTTCCCTAAATGTACAAAATGAAATTTGCACACCTGTCGCCCCCTGCAAGATACGCTTTGAGCAGCTTCAGTGAGAGACTGGCGTACCCTCGCTGTGTGAAGGAGAGGTTCCCCAGGTCTTTCTTTCTTTTGTTTATTTCTGCTGCTGTCAAGACCGTACAATGAACCAGTGCCCACTGCTGACTCACTTGTAGTACAGTATAATGCGTAAAACCGTAGTAATTTAAGACCAATATGGTTTCACAATGTGTGCATTGACAAGTCAGTTTATTTGTTACATCCATATGTTGCTAATAAATAGTTGTAGCCATCCCAACTGTAAATATCTGTCTGTGTATGTTTGTTTAGTCTTATACTTCAAATAAGAAGATTTAAGAATACAGATTTGAGAAGAGCTCTAAATAGTACTGCTATTTATCTTATTTTTATTTATCCTGTTTGGGTGCTCCTTACTATTATCTAATGTGGCTGGCAACACTGAAAAATCCCATAATTGGCATGATGAAAGGTTATCTTATCCTGTTCCTATATAGACTATATAGCACAACTAAAGACAGATCAATGGCACAGTTTTTTAACTTAGTAAAACGTGTCAACTTAAGACTAAATACTATAATTATTTGATTTATACAGTGATCGGCTGTACTTGATGTAAATGTGTTGAACCTCTTTGCCAACAAAATGTTTGTCTGTGTCATCCTTTGCGGTAGGATGCAACTGCCGTTCAAAGAAGCTTGAAAATGGCAATCTAATCACACATAAGGGAAGACTGTTAAGCACTGCACCAACAAGACCTCTGCAGGAAGAAAACATCACTCAGCATTTTTTAATTATTTACATATCCTACCCCCGTTGCCTTTTCGCTCTATCCGTGCCCTGTATAAAAGCCTTCCTGGAACCACTCATATCTCCACACACTCAACATATTGACCTATTGCTCTTATGAAGGGAGTGATAATATTTAGATTATATTATCAATATTTGAAGACGATGCCATTATGCTTTTCAGTGAGACAAGAGAGTTGACAAAAAGCATGTGTGTGGCCATCAGGGAGAAAGGCGTACTACTGAAATGTGTAAAAAATGTGATGGTTGCATCTTTTCAAGTGTGTGGCATCGCACCAAGTCTCACACTGGCTCACAACAAACAGGAAAGACCATTGAGTGACCAACAAGCAGCCATGCTGTCATGTTGTAACTGCTACTGCGCTAATAATACAATTTTAAAAAACTGTACAATATGTTGAGCCATTTATTCATTCTGAAGTCAACAAAACTATAGGCCTTTTGCAATTTCAAGCAGAATTTTTATTTGAGTTCATGATGATCAGCATAAAAAAATAACCAGGGTTATCACCGTAAATCCTGCACTGATTTGTAAGCCATAAAGTCACTCTCTCCTCTAAAGCTGAAATAGGATCATATTACATTCAAAAACGTACAATTATTCAACTAATGGCAAGAATTTACAAAAAATCCTATATTGAGCCCCATATTATACTATATCGGCTATTATTACGACAGTAATAATAGGGGGCGACAGTAGCTCAGTTGGTAGAGCATTGGCCTTAAGCCCAGAAGGTCGTGGGTTCAATTCAACCTCTGCACCTTCTCCACCGACTCCCACTGATGACTGCTGTCGTTGTGTCCTTGGGCAAGACACTTAACCCCACTTTGCCCAAAAGCTCCCACTGAAAGATCAAGGCTGTGCTCACACTCAGAGAGCAGCCGTCCTCCTGTGGACTCACCACCTGCAGAGGGTCAGTGAGGGGCTGGTGCTATGAGACTTGGGTGGCATCTCTGACTGCCACCCCCCTGACCCAGAAATGGATTAAAGGGTAGAAAATGGATGGATGGATGGATGGCTATTATTACCAGCACTAACTTGGAGAAGTGACATTCAGTCTTCATTTTCAACCAGGCATTACAAGCTACAAGTGAGAAGGCTAGGAATGGCATCTGACATAAAACCTGAAAAAATATGCAAATTACTGCAGCAACAGAGGTAGAAAAAGTCCAAGGTGGGGAGCCAAGCTGCAAAAAAAGTATGCCCCATTTCCAGAGTAAATCTGATCTAAATTTATATTGGGGTTTTGGGACCAAATTATGAATAAGAAGTTCTGTTGCATGAATAAAAAATAGGTATATTAGTGGCACGCTGTAAAATGCAAATTAGTTTCACAAGGATGAAGAATGAGTGGGACAATGAAGCCAAGGATGTAGTGAGTTGGATGCAATAGAAGGCCAGAGGAGGAAGTAATCATGAACGCAACATAATTAGACAGAAGCATTCAATTATCTTCAGTTCAACAGGGGCGCAAAGTGAGTCTAGAATTTGTTTGGCCAACGGTGATTCATCTTTCACCCCTGCCCTTGAGCTAAGAGGTGGTACGCGGACAACAAGCGGCTGATGTATTGAACTGTCATGCTGCTTCATTTACTTTTATCTTATCTCTCTACAAGAAGTACTACGAGACCGATGCATTGAATTACCCAAATAAACTAAAGTTAATTAACTACGCATAAAGAAATGTGTAGTTAATTCCAATAACGGTAATTTCAACCGGTGGTCAGTTAGGGCCAAGAACTTATGAATAGTCAACCTCTGAGTTAGGTTTCCGAGTTTATGAGATATACAATGTATACATAGAATATACATCAGCTGTATACATTACACACAGCTCTACAAAAAGAGCAAATTAAGTTGTCAATTCTCTAAAATTAATTATTAAATTAATAGTTTATTAAGTTGATCTGCTTATACATCACATCCAATTTCAGAGTTGCTACAGAAATTACCAATTTGAATATATCTTTTAAAGGTTCAAAGTTGTCAAAATGGAGGTAATAACAGAAAGCTACTGAGCAACATTAGCAACATCGCCCAGCCACTGCATTTCAATCGACTTGAAAACAAGTCATTAAATTTGGTTTGATGAAGCTGGTGTAAGTATCGACTTGGTTCAGTTACCATCACCCCCGGTCTCAAGCAGCTGAGTCCCGGGGGAGCATTTAAATGATCTGTTTACAAGATAGACAACTAAACAGGTCAGGCCTAAAAATAATCTTTGATCTACTCTTGAAAACGATTCCCCTACAGAACAACCTGGCATCCTTTTGGGGAAGTGAACTTACAATTTCGGAAAATCAGGAAAAATAGCAAAAGCAATGCAAGACGGTGACATTGACACCACCATTCATTAAAGCTCTTACAACCTGCTTTTATTCTTTGAAGAAAATAACTTTAATTGCATGTTCTTCCTGTGTTTTGGAAGGTCAATACCTTTGAAAATAATCTTAACTGTCTACATTACGTTCAACCAAACATATTCCTTGACATGAACTGTACAAATGCAAATGCAAATACTAACTTCTGACATTCTGAAGCCAAACCCTGTTTTAACAACAACTCCTTGCTTACAAGATGTAGTTAAAAAAAATAAAATAATGAGAAATTGCAATGTGCATGTTTAATAAAGGATCTAACTATAGTATGTGTGAAAATTATTACACTTTTGTAATAAAGGGAAAATCATACTTCCATCTTTTGACATGTTGTTTCACTAGTCAGATTCACGAACCCCATTGTAACCCTTAAGGAATGCGTCTTTTATAACAATAAATCCAGATGAACATTGCTCCATGTGTGGTTTAAACAGTGTCATTGGCAGTGAAAGAAAGTTCATTAATTGACATTGGAATTGGAATAGTGATTTGTCTGTAGCTATTTGTTCGCATTATGAGAAGCACACTGGAACACTGAACATAGAGTCATGCACCTTTACCAGCTGTGACCATGGAAACCCCAAGATCAGAGGAATCAGGATGATTAAACGCTGCGTGCAGAGTGTGAGATGCCTTGTCAGTTCATAGTAGTTTTTACCTGTGCTATATTGAAAGCATATGCAAAACTGCTTTTATGATGTCATTGAAACCCATGGCTGGGCGTGAATCTGTAATGGTGCATAAAGTGAGATGGTGGCCAGCTGGAGACATGGGAGTACAGTCAGCTTGCTTCTCTCATCGTTAAATAATGCAAAAATCTTTTTCCTTTTTTAACCTTTTTCCCCAACGCTAGTTCGGCCCATTCCTCATTTACATCGTGACCCAAACCTAAGCTTGCTCTTGTTTACTCACATCAATTTCCACACGGGGTATGAGAGTGCACACTGCCTGGCTGCTACTGTACTTGTTGGTGAAAGCAGCTGCAGATATATAAAATGTAATTCATTCATTCTTTTTACCCCTCCCCCATTTAATCCCCATCTTTCAGGCTCTGGAGGAGGAGTTGGAATAACTGGGTAGAAGGCAAAATTCCAGTTTGATCTTCCAATAGAACCATTTCCATATGATCCACTCTAAGACCTAAAAGAACAACTTGACAGCGTGTAAAAAGAATCGAAACGTGTCCATGTGCAAGTGTTGAACAGCCCAACCCATCACATCACATCACTGGAAAATGCACAACCACTACTAAAAGCTACTCTAAGGGTCTGCAGGCAAAGAGCCCCAGCATGCACTCCGAAAAATCCTGCAGCAACGCCCTGGGACTGACTGTAAGCAGACAATCTCCCACAAGATCCAGCTTTTGTTTGCAAATCAGTTATGTCAGAAAGGAAGCAGCCATCAGCTACTAGACACCCTCTGTAATCTGTTGAGAAGTGATTTAGGACATGGCCTTTTAAGTCAGACACAGCCACATTTATCACGGCCATTCATGAATACACAACATGCAATGGCAGCATAACACTATGAGACATGGTGTAGTAAATCAATGCTACAAATCCAGAGGGTAATGGGCTCTATCATCACTTTATGAGGGACAAAATACTATATACAGCAGATTCATGTTTTTTGCAAAATATGTATTTACAAAGGAATCAATGAAGAACTAATTAATATATGTCACAACAACCTTATGTATGTTAATAAGAGGCTGTTTCAGGTATAGTGAAACAGGTCTAGTTTGAATACACATTAATTAAGGTGCAACATATGAGCTCTAATTCTAGTGAGTCGGTGTTCCATATGAGACCCAATTTCCACGTTATTTCTTATGAATGAATGAGCTACATTCATTCAACTAAATCAATTAATTTAAATATTTTCACAAAGTCGCTGATTGCATGCAATGTGAATCTATTGTCCATATAAGACACAGGTTGGTTGTAGAATAAAGGAGATATACCTGAAAATCAAACCCAGCCTTTCCCTGGCGCTTCTCAGTGGGAGCTGTCAGAGAGGATGCGGTCTCAATGCAATGTCTGTGCAGGATCTGACCACGGAGTCTTTGCGCACGGTGCCCGTCACCCCCCAAAAAAAAAAAAATAGAAGCTGTGCGTGTTTTTCTTTGCGAGTGGTGAATGAGTGGTCTCTTTCTAGAGGTGCATCGGAGCTCCTCTCCACAGTGCGTGGGAACTGGTTCTCATTCCTGCGTGGAGGATGGAAAGCCCTTGGTAGACTGGGAAGGAAACCCCTGGATCTGAAGTGAGAATGGTGAAGTGGTCACTCATCATCACCTGATTAAATTGTTCTGGAATTGGATATGAAAATCATAGAAAGTATGAATGAGGAAACTGCTAAGAATTGACTTGCAGCAAGACATCGTATTGTGTAAAGTCTTTATTTAAATATGATCAACATGTTATATTTACAACAAAATCACTAAAAGCCTCTGAAATACCCTAACTGTAGCCTTAAAACACAGCCCAATTCCACCTAAAATGACAATATTTATCATATTTTATGTTTACCTGTTCTATTTATGAGAGCTTTATAAGTTAATTGAGATTTCAATTGCTGAAACCGTCTACTGTTCTTTTTGTGCACTCAAGTCGCCATCTACAGGAGAACGTATACAATACAACTAATTTACGGACTTTGAAGCCAGCTTATAAACTCACATTGAAAACACAAAAAGCTTTCGGTGATAAATGAAAGCCATGTTGAATAAAAAAAAAAAAATTAAATGCAGTTCATAAAAGTCTTAAGATTGTCATGACAACGCCCTGGTCACGTGTTCTGTCTGTCAGCTGACCGTCCTCTCTGCTGGAGAAATGGCGGCGCACTTATCTTACGGACGAGTCAATTTAAACATTTTAAGAGAGGCGGCACGAAAGGAGCTTCGCGAGTTTTTGGACAAATGTGCAGGAAGCAAGGTATACTCATGATGTCACATTGAAAAACATGTTTTTGCTAGCTTAGCCGATTGAAGAAGAATACAAGCCTGGTTATGTTGCTGACTGTAATATCTTATTTAGAAGGAACTGATTTCATTAGAACTTCGTCGCATTTTTAGTAGTCGTTGTATTGAAAGCTGGGGACCTAACTCACAAATCCCATTGTGAGCATTATGGAACTATGTAATAACAGTTTGGTTCTGTTATCACATGTGTTTTGGCCTCTGTCACATCTTTTGATAAACAAAGCGTCAAATAGTGATTATTTCTTACAAGTTTGTAAGATTACATGTTCTGTTCAGACGAACAGGGCATGCTGCAGTTTGATTTCAGTGATCTGTTCGCAATATTTTACTTTTACAAGATTCTTAGCTCGCTAGATATAAGTTACAGAACCCATGGGTGATATAATCAATTAAGAGATCTATATTTTTATTTGTTTCTTAGGTAATATGTTTAATCATCTCTTTTACAACTTACCCAACCACAGAGAATCCTGAATAAAATTCTAGTATGATTTGTGTTTGTTTTACCACAATGCATTGCTCTTCAGGCTATAGTATGGGACGAGTATCTCACAGGACCATTTGGACTGATAGCGCAGTATTCACTACTCAAGGTAAGTGATGCATGAAGTCACTATTGTGCTGAAATGTTTGATCATTGTAAAGTCAACTAACGCTGTTATCACATGTTTTAGGAGCATGAAGTGGAAAAGATGTTCACCCTAAAGCGTGGCCGCTTGCCCTCAGCGGATGTCAAAAACATCATATTTTTTGTTAGACCCAGAATAGAGCTCATGGAGATTATTGCTGACAACATATTCAAGTGTGTCCAGTTATACACATTATTGTTTACAGCACTTAATGTCACAACGCTTGAACTTCATTGTGTTTGTTTGTCATTATAGTGAGGATAAACTGCACTCCCCACGGGACTTCCACATCCTGTTTGTGCCACGGCGCAGCATGTTGTGTGAACAGAGATTGAAGGAGTTGGGAGTATTAGGCTCCTTCATTAACATTGATGAGTACATTCTGGACCTTATACCTTATGATGGGGATCTCCTTTCTATGGAGTATGAAAGTGCCTTCAGGGTATGACCAAATCCGCACATATCTACCATTTTGTAACAAATATCCGAAGTATGCGACTTAAACATAAATATTATTATTTGTGCTTTGAACAGGAGTGCTACTTGGAAAATGATCAGACAAGTCTTTATCACACAGCCAAAGGCCTTATGACACTACAGGCCTTATATGGAAGTATACCTCAAATTTATGGAAAAGGAGAATGTGCACGAGTGAGTCTTTGAAATTAAATAAGTGATTCTGTAAAACATGTAATTTACATGTATCTTTTGCATACAGAATGTGGCCAACATGATGCTGCGAATGAAGAGAGAGTTTGCTGGAAGTCAGAATCAAATCTTGCCCGTGTTTGATACACTTCTTCTCTTGGACCGTAATGTTGACCTGCTTACACCGCTAGCTACCCAACTGACTTATGAGGGTTTAATTGACGAAGTTTACGGGATTAATAATGGTTAGGGTAAATCTTATTGAAGCAATTTCAGACCCTTACAATTTGCCAATTACCATTTTTTTTTATTTCCCAGGCTATGTGAAACTTCCTCCAGAAAAGTTTTCACAGAAAAAGCAAGGTGAAGCCAGTAAAGATTTGCCAACAGAGCACAAGAAACTACAACTAAATTCAGCTGAGGAATTGTATGCAGAAATCAGAGACAAGAATTTTAATGCTGTTGGGTCAGCACTAAGTAAGAAGGCCAAAATCATCTCTGCTGCTTTTGAGGTTAGTTACATTTGTACTGTATTCTAATTAGTTCTATTGATGCAAGCGCCATTACTATGTTGACAGCCGACCTGCTTTTAGCCAGTGTGACACTGGTGTATTAGATTAGAAAACGCCATTTAATTATAGAAGTACTCAGTTGTGATAAGACTAAGGGATGAGCTATCTTGATTTTTTTCCTCTTTTTTTTTTTTTAAATCTAGAACACATTTGTATGCCTTGGCTTTTTAACACCAAGTTCCATTTTTTTCATGCTGATTTTATTTTTACTATGGCAAGGCAAATTTATTTATATAGCACAATTCATACACAAGGCAATTCAAAGTGCTGAACAAAATAAGAAAGCATTAAAATCATAAATAATCACAGAACATTATTCCCTCAGTTGTATGCACAGCTAAACAGAACTGTCTTTAACCTGGTTTTAAACATTGTCAATGGGGAGATTGTCTATACATTCAAAGCACTTTTGGCAGCTGGTATTGTTGTAAAAAGTGCTATACAAATTTTAAAAAGAGAAAAATGGGAAGGGTATATTTTTTTATGTTTGACGTTGAACTATTAAGTATATTTAACTCTTACATCTTTCTCATAGGAACGACACAATGCTAAAACTGTGGGAGAAATAAAGCAGTTTGTATCACAGTTGCCACATATGCAGGCCGCTCGGATCTCTCTGGCAAATCATACATCAATAGCAGAACTGATTAAAGATATAACAAGTGGGTAAACCAGTTTTATTTTTTTATTTTCTTGTTCACTTGATAAGAATTTTGCATGTGACATATTTTTCAGCGTCTGAGGCCTTTTTTGACAAATTGACAGTGGAGCAGGAGTTCATGACTGGAGTTGACACTGACAAGGTACATTTCTTAAGACACCAAAAATAGTACTGGCTTCTAACCGTTTTACTTTTAGCTTAACATGTATATAGAAGACCGGATTGCTCAAAAGGACCCCTTGATCAAGATACTGCGACTGATGTGCATGCAGTCAGTATGCAACAATGGCTTGAAGCAAAAAGTGTTGGATTTCTATAAAAGAGAAATTCTGCAGGTAATATCATTTCGTTGATTAACCAATCCAACCCAAATCACTTTATTTCTATTGCACATTTAAACAACAGAACAGTTCCAAAGTGCTGCACAAAAAAATAAAAGTACACCAAAAAAACATGTAGCTCAACCAGTCAATAAAATAGAATAAAAAATAGTCATCACAAATGGTATAAATAACCAAGTATTATGTCAATATGTTGCATCGCTCAGTTACATCAGTTGTTGTTTTCTCTTTTTAAGACCTATGGTTATGAACACATACTAACATTGAACAATCTGGAGAAGGCTGGACTGTTAAAGCCACAAACCAGCTCTCGGAACAACTACCCCACCATCAGAAAAACTCTAAAACTGTGGTTGGAGGATGCTAATGAACAGGTGATACGACTCCACGATCTCTATTGGTTTATATTTTTGTTTGCTCACGAATGGATTTGATTTCTACAGAACCCCAACGACATCTCGTATGTATATAGTGGTTATGCCCCCTTAAGCATCCGACTGACACAGGTCCTGACGAGGCCTGGATGGCGGAGTATTGAAGAAGTGCTTAAGATGCTTCCTGGTCCACATTTTGAGGAGAGGCAACAGCTGCCGGCCGGGCTTCACAAGAAACGTATGGATTCGGTCTACTGTTTGTCCCGTTACTCAGAAACAGCCAAACCTCCAGTCTGGTCCATGTAGATAAGGGACAAGCATTGTTACTGCTATAAATTCCCAACAAAAGCAGCAAATTGCAGCTCTACCATCTGGGTTTGTCTAGAGTGTGTTACAACAGTCCAAAAGTGAAGCTTGTGGATATTCAAATGATCAATTTAATGTTATGCTCAATTTGCAATGTGCAAATTAAGCGGGAGATTGCATTAACAGAGGATTTGCCATGACATGTTTGCTTTATTGGGAATTGAAAGGTGATAATAGGGACTCAGGAAATAAGGGGTGGCAGAGTGCTGGCTTTATTAGTACTTTCATATTTGATCAAAAATGCTGTTGACTATTTTTCTTACATTACAGTATTAAACAACAAGATAATAAGCACATAACATTTGATTTGTGTATTTTTGCATGTGTGATTAACAGGACAGCAAGGGGAAAACCGTACAACTCTGGTCTTCTTCCTCGGTGGAGTAACGTACGCGGAAATAGCAGCCCTTCGTTTTCTCTCTCAAATGGAGGACAGTGGCATGGAATACGTAATTGCTACGACCAAACTTATCAATGGCACAACTTGGGTTAAATCGCTCATGGACAAGCCGGAGTCCCAAAACTAAAAATCACTGGACACATCTAACAACCAAATAACAATCATCTCTCTTGAGTTCTTCTGTCTTTATACACACTTCCTTTTATTGTACGAAGCCAACTGCGTCTTGTTACATTTTTGTTTGTTGCTGTCTATATGTAAATAAACATTGGCAAATGTCTGTGAGATATTTGATTATGCCTAAATATTAATAAATCAAAAGGTAAATATTGAGCTTATTGTCCACTTCATTGAGTTGCATGGCATTGGCCTTTCTGCATGTGGCTCAAGACACTGGACACGATCACTAAGGAGATGAAGAACGGGATGAGAGCGCATCCTTCAGCAGGGGTCCGGCTCACTGGAGGAGCAATTAACGCGGTAACAGGCCCCATGATCAGCCGATAATGGACCAGTGCTGTCTGGAAAGCCCAACCCATGGCAGCCCATGATTTGACAGTGCAGGACACTGATTGAATTAGGAGGCCATTTGCTTCGTGTTCCGGTAGAGAATAGCAGCGCTGCGTGTAGGTTTGATCTCTTCTTCAAAGTCAATACTTTCACCAAGATCTGCACTATATATGGACACAAGGAGACCAGTGGAAATATTTTCGTAAACTTTACGATGGTGAGTCCTTATTGGAGTGATTGATCTAGGAGACTAATTTTAGCATCAACTTAACGCTAATTTATAACCGTTGTCACTTTTTAATATGTGTTTATATGTTGTATTAGCCACAGGAGGAGGAGCCAACAAAGAGTAGTTAAGAGCAGGGTAGAGCTCAATGCTTCAGAGCGGACCGCAGTCTACACTTTGAAGATTCTTCTCTCAACTGGAACAAGGTAATTTTAAGTTTTCACACTATTTAACTATACTTTTCAACATGCGACTATTTAACTGTTCTATTTTTAGTTACTGTATTTCAACCTTTATTCAGATGTTGTTCTATTTTGAGTAAGCAAATAATGAATGAACAAGCAAGCAAGCAAGCTGATCAATATCAAATGAATTATTGATGCTAATGCTTCTGTGGCTGAAAATGTGACTACAAGTAATCATGTTGTGCGAGATCATGGAAATACTTTCTTTATTGATTTGTTTTGTCCAGTCAAACCTTGCAAAATGTGTTACAGGATGGGCCGAGGTGAGAATATGAGACCACTCTCCAGTCAAGAAGTCAGGGACATCAAATTCAATTTGGACGAGGAACCTCTGATGCTTCGCTTTCTACGGACTTTTAGAGATGTCTTGAAATTCATTCTTTTCAGCTACACTGTGCTGTTTGGTTCCTTGCTTCTTGCCCGATGGACAACTTATTTTATGGTTGGGAAGTGAAGACAGAAATGATGCATTATATACAGCATATTGTGACCCACAGTGTTTGCTAAGAATGTGTTCTACCAAACTGTTCTGGATTTACTATTCAAGTTATAATTGCGTTGATGCTTTGATGTGAGGAAGAGAGCTCTTTTTTTTCAATTGAGAAAATTAGCATTTATTTAAACGTTTTTTGCTGTGGGGCCTTAAACTGCTTTACATACATACATACACAAATACATAATAGCAGCAGTGTGGCTTTCATGTAAATTTTTGTTGATGTTGTGTAGATAACACAGTTATTATATCTCAGAATAGAAGCATCCTACTTTTATGTCCAGTTTTTGTTCATTCGGTGACGTCACAACACTGTACAATAACATTGTTAACACAAGGCACCATCATTGGCTACTTCAAGCCTCATTATGTTATTTTTCATATGTATTGTCCATACATTTTCTACCCATGGATGTATTATATTCTTAATATTTACTGTCTAGGATTCTGCCCCATCTCTTTAAGAGGGAGGAGTAATAAATGATTGGCACATTGCATAGCAGATATATATAGTTTTTTGATTGTTGTTTACAAATTAACCGTGTGGGGAGTTGAACTGTTTTGTCTGTGTCCTCTGTCCTCACATGGTCCCATCTGGACCCTGGATGTCAGGACGACCCGTGCCTAGAGCTCTATGGTCTGGACCTCTTGTTTCAGGACAGACTCTGCGCATGCGCACTTTACCGCTTGTCTGCGTGTTGAACGCACTAGTCAACATGTCCACTGCTCAGCACAACAATAACGAAGAGCCTGGGCTTCACGGTATGTGATATCTATTCCCATTCCTTCTGCTCAAATTAGACCTGTCGTTCCCAGTGCTGAGGTTGTGCTCCCATCTTTTCTTTGTTATGATTTTATTATAAAAAAGGAAAAGTTGTGTTCCATTTTCGTCTGCGAGGGGGCATGCTTATGTTGCTGACGTAAATTAATTTGAAGCCAATGGAGTTTAGCGACAGGCTTGATTGATGGGACATTAGCAAATCAAAAACTAGATCAGCCACTGGGTGGGTCTTGAGCAAAATGAAAACAAGTTTGGGACAAAGCTGAATGTGTCATTCCTTCTCTTGTTTATCCATTTCGAATAGTTTGCTCTAAAGTGAATTGGAAACAATGGTTGTATTGCGAGTTTTCCGTGATGCGAGACTGCTTGAATACATGCTTTTGCGTAGAATCCATTGTGTCTTAAACTGTTCGCTGTTGTCCATGTAGATCTTTTTTGGTGTGGTAATAGATCCATGGGTTAAAATTGTGTTGAACTCAAACAGCCTCGTCTCGTCAGGAGCGAGACCTCGTGATGTTGCTGCGACTGTCTGCGCTTTTGTCTTCTGTGGTTATGCAACATGGACGCGGGAGATGCTCTGCAGACTTCTGTTTATATTCATGCTTATCCTTCACGAGGAAAAACCCCTAATAAATATGTTTGTGAACCCCACAGTGACAAAGTAATATTATAAATTCATAAATACACAGCACTGCATATGCTCAATAACACTTTATACAGATTACATAATCCTTTCAGTGTGGGAAACTGTTTGTAGGGCAGTGGCACAAACAAGTCCTGACGGCTGTCAGACGAAGTAATTCAAATGATTATATCTACAAATAAGAAAATTCTGTTTTTTGCCATTGACCTAATTCTTACTTTCATTTTATATTTGTGCTAAGGATCCTGGGTAGAGTTAGAGATGAATGGAAACACTGCAACACGGAGTCTTCAGAATAACCTTCTAATGCCACCTGCTACAGACCAAATAAATGCAAATAATGGATTGAGAGAGATGCCCGAAAGCAATGAGTCCCTTATTGGAGGGTTAGAGCATGTGCCATCATCATCTTCAATACACAATGAAGATATGGAAAAGATACTTCTGGATGCACAACATGAATCAAGTCCAAGCAACTCCTCCTGTCAAAGGTGACATTTCAATACAGTCATTATAAATTTAATCATTTTTGATTATAACTTTTTCTTATTTGCATAGTCCTCACCGGCCACCAAGTCCAGAACAAGATGAAGACGGCCAGATTATGTTTGATGCTGAGATGTCAAATCCAGCAGATTATCAGGTTAAAATCACAATTATTACCTTGTAATGATAGCTCTTTGACCTACAAGATTGAAACTTTGAAGACTTTATTCCCCTCAATTCATGGTGGTAACATACTTCATGTATCCATGTATAGCTGCATTAATTTGATCTGGCAGGTGTAGCTATGATCCTTTTCCAGAAAGTTTTTATTTTACATACTCGTTACAATTCCAAGGAGTCTTTAGACCCCTGCGGTGCTATGTGGCCTGGTCCATGTGTCGTCCAACAGCTGTAAATGCATTTGATTGAGCTAGGGTGGACATTTCTGGTTCTATGCCAACTTCTGCCAATAAAATGGGCTGCTGCCTGATCCAAAAAAGCTTTATTATTATTTTTAATAGGAAGAAGAAGACGTTGAAGAGAAAGATGAAAATGAAGACATTCAGTCGAAAATAGAAGCAGACTGGGTCGCTGATTGGTCCAGCAGACCTGAAAATATACCCCCAAAGTAAGAGATTACAACTATATATATATATAATATATATACATATATATTATTTTATATGTTTTTATATATTTATATATTTTTTTGCCTTTTTCAGAGAGTTTCACTTTAGACACCCCAGACGTTCAGTATCTCTCAGTATGAGAAAAACTGGTGTCATGAAGAAAGGCGGTGTCTTCTCTGCAGAGTTCCTCAAAGTCGTCATTCCTTCTTTGCTCATCTCACACATTCTGGCTCTTGGCATTGGGTAAGTTTCATGCATGACAAGACAAAGGTCTATTGTTACAATAATAGCACAACGTGCTACGTAAATAAATGGGAACAAATGGATATGCCAATTATAAAATATGAATTTGTGGAATGTAATATTATTTATTTTATAGGGTTTACATTGGGAAAAGAATTGCCCTTGCCCCGACCAGCATATACTGAGTATATCTCTGAGCAATGCCTGGATGTCCTGCTTCAAGTGTGTCCATTTCTCTTCCATTGTCAAGCCCTGTTTCTTTATCAAGTCAACATTGTGTCTAGTTATGTGCATTTCCTATCATAGTTGCACTCCGTCATACCTGTACACTCTGAGCAGTAATTACAACTAAATGTAATTTTTCTGAATGGCTGAAATATTGAATTTAGCACATAACTTGGAGTGGTGATAACCAAAAAGTGTACAAAAAACATTATTTTAAAACCTTTTAATTGCCTTAAGACACTTGAAAAAAAAGTTTTGCATTTCTGTATGTGTTGCGTAGAGGTTTGAGAACATACGTTTTTGAAGGTTAAAACTCTTGTATATGGTCTGATGCCAAATTTGACAGGAGATTTCCTTTTTCTTTCCTACATATCTTTTTGTGGTCCAATACATACTCTCTTACCATTGCACATTGGTTGTCTTTTATTAGTTGTTATAGATTTTAACTATACTACCTATATGTCAAGGATAAGCTGTGATGATAAGTAATGAACATTTGCTTCAGTGCTGTCTGTCAACATGTAAATATTTTTGATGATAGCTAACAGGGAGGTGTCCTTTATGTCTGTTTGTCATGCAATAATTTCATGATGTGCAGTAGAATACATTGCACGTATGACTATAAGGTTACTGCAAAGCATCAGAAAGAGCATGAGAAACTGGATTCTGACGTATGCTTTTTAACGGATGTATATGAGAAGACGGTGGCGATGTAATTTGAGTTCACTGTATTTGAAGCATTAGTTAGAAAGCAAAGTGTAACATTGGACGAATGACTATAGTCAAAAAGCTAATACTAGTACAAACTGTGCAATACAATTTAAAATGACATTTTTGCTGTTGCTCTGTCTCCATTAAATAACTAAATTACCTCACAATGTGTATGTGTTTCAATACATGCTAATACGGTGATAGTTTAAATGTTGTGTTATCCTTATTGTAACTATTTTATAACAATAATAAGTTATATAATAATATGTATTTAGGGCCTAGTCAAACAAAGAAACTCTTGGTCAATTAATTGTTGCTATCAAATGTTCTGTGGATCGATTTTTTTTTTAATTAAAAATGGAACGTGGCAGATGCTCTAAAACAGGGATGTCAAAGTCAAATTCAGAAGACGGTAAAAAAAACATTTGCTACAAGCCGAGGGCCGGACTGGTCCAATGTTTATTAAAACATATTATAATGATTGCATATTACCTATTGAACCAAGACATGGGGCCGAGATCATTCATTCACGGGCTGGATTTGGCCCCCAGGCCTTGACTTTGACACCCCTACAGTAAAAACAACTTTAAGGGGAGAACAAAATCACATGAAATATTTTGTAAGTTTTAGCTAATTTGCTTCATATCTTCTCATTTATGCATTTTGTATTTGAACATAATAATAATAGTTAAATTAATACAAAATGTTATTGACTAAGGAACCACTAAGAGGTTAATCGACTAAACGACGTGCTAAACTCCTGGATCTATAATAATATCACTAATAGATTATGGTTAAACGTCAAATGGCCTTGCTGAACAGGGTGGGGTAGTGCGCATGCGCCGTGTCTCTTTGTGGCCGGCCCGGCTCTTTTTTGGGTACCTGACTAATCTTGGGGTCATTTTGCCTTATTATTTTTGCACGTCCACTTTCATCTATACTGCCACGGTTCTTGTGCTGCACTGTGCACATTATCTTCTTTTATATTATCAAAAATCGGCGCAGGGCGTCGACAGCCTCCGAGCATCCATTCATCCTCCTTTCATTGGCTGCTGTGGTCTCCAGGCTTTGCTAGCTCGTTTTAGCCCAAAGGTTGAGGACAGTAGTGTGTAAAGGGGGATCCTTAAAATGTCGGGTTACCAAGGAAAGAAGAACATCCCTAAAATTACAGTAAGTATTTAAGGTCCCATTATTTCGCTGCCTTTTGTGAGTATAGTTTGACATGCGCAAAGCACCGTGGGATTAGAGTAGCAAAGGCTGCCACCATTCTGCAAGCTTCTGTCCCCAGTTCTAAATCAGTGTTACACCAAAAGACCAATCATACCATCCCACCGCAACGACTGCTACTGTTTACAGAAATGTGTTTTTATTTTACTATAATTTAGCTGATTTACCCTTACACATATGCACCAAGGGCTGTCAGCAGCATCCCCTGCCTTGTAACGTATCATTAATAACCCATGTTTTCACTCAGACTGGTACTATTTATGTGTGTGAACAATTATGAGGGGGTAAGGTGTACATATTCTTTCAGTTTAACCTGAAACATTTGATGTAAGAGTTATTATGCGTAATAATGTAGCTCAAACCATGAAGTAGGTCAGTGAGCAGGTCATACCAAAATGAGAATTCCCTTTACAAATTTCATTGCTTATATATGTATGCAATTGTGCTCATAAATGTGCATGCCCTGACAGATTTGATGATTTTCTGGCAGTTTTTCAGAGAATGTTAAATTTTAGTATACATTCAAACTTGTCCAGGGTCATTTTTGGTGGTTTCATTAGATACCAGGATAGTCTAAGAATAAAACTCATAAGATTTTGATTAAAAGACTAATATATTGTTACCAACACAACACTGCTGCAATTACACACGTTTGTTTGTTTCCCTCTTTGTATCATTAATAGATTCTGGAAAGTACATGTTACACTTTGATATAGTGTGAAAGGGTCAGAGAACCTCTTTGTCCCTTCAAACAGTCATCCTTTCTTTAAAGCAATGTTCATTTGTAAGTATTAAGACAATTGGACACAGTACTAAACAAATGATGCTGAAATACAAGTCTCAATCCAAATACTAACTGTTGAAACCACGAGTTTATATATTATAAAAGGCATCGATTAATATTGTATTCTCTCAATTATTTTTAAAGTGAACAATGTAACAATAATGTAAAACTGTAAGAACCCCTTCATCATGAATTGCTAACATTGATCTTGACTTAAATACAACACTATCTTATGCATTGAGACATTAAGTCTTTATGCTAAATGCAACAGTAGTATCATTTTCATTTCATTTCATTTCATTTCTTATTATTATATTTTTACCTAGAAAGATCATGACGAGGCAGAGCGCTTATAGACTGCAAGTTTTAGGTCACCCAAAACGTAAAAGACCAAAAACTGTGTAATGTTGGTAGAATTTATGTTAGAGAAAATGAATACATGTGTTTAATTTAGCAGTATATATTAAGGTTTATTGAATGGAACTTTAATTTTTTGTTGTTTGTTTAATTGCAGAGCGATCGTCTTCTTATCAAAGGAGCAAAAATAGTAAATGATGATCAGTCATTTTTGGCTGACATTTATATGGAAGATGGGGTTATCAAGTAAGTTGGGACACAAATTAGTTAACATTCTTGCATGTTTTTTTTTCCTTTTAATAATTTATTATTTTAGGCAAATTGGAGACAACCTCATTGTCCCTGGGGGTGTCAAAACGATTGAGGCTCATGGGAGGATGGTGATGCCCGGAGGTATTGATGTGCACACCCGACTTCAGATGCCTGACCGAGGCATGGTTTCAGCGGATGACTTTTACCAGGGCACACGTGCTGCTCTTGCTGGAGGCACCACCATGATCAGTATGTGAAACACTTTCCACACAGCAATTTAATTTAGTTTAATTGGCCCCTGTGTGTAATTTTAATAACTGCATATTGCTTTTTATATATAACTGTTTTCTTTGACATTTATAGTTGACCACGTGGTTCCAGAGCCTGGCTCAAGTTTGTTGTCAGCGTTTAACCAGTGGAGGGAATGGGCCGACAGCAAGTCCTGCTGTGACTACTCTCTGCACGTGGACCTCACTGATTGGAACAAGGGGACCCAGGAGGAGATGGAGACCTTAGTGAAGGATCATGGTACCATCCAGACCCTTTGTTTTCAGATTTTCTCCCCTTCTTGAATGTCTCTCTCTCTATATTCCTTCTCTTGTGTTGTTTTTGTGCCTCTGCACAGCCTATTTTACTTCTTTGTATCTAAAATGAAGCTGCTTTGCCATAATACCCATGAGCTTCTTTTGCTTGTCTTGTTTCCTGCTTTTTATTTCAACCTTTGTCAAATATATCTAGGTGTCAACTCTTTCCTCGTCTATTTGGCTTATAAGGATGTTTTTCAACTTTCTGACTCACAGGTAATTTGTCTCTCATCTGGCTTTGGACCTTTTTGTGTTCATTTATTATTAGAAATGTATTTAAAACAACAAAATGATGTATGTGAAGATTCTTCTCTTCTTCTTAGATATATGAAGTATTCAGTGTCATCAGAGACTTGGGAGCCATAGCACAGGTGCATGCTGAGAATGGAGACATCATTGCTGAGGTAACAAACTAAAATATTTGAGCTTTGTATGTGTTTTATGAATAATACTAATTTTATTTAGGAGCAAAAACGTATTATGGAACTTGGAATCACTGGTCCTGAAGGTCATGTTCTCAGTCGTCCTGAGGAGGTACTAATTGTAACTTTAACCATATAAACTCTTAACGTGTCAGTCATTTAGTACGGATAGATGACCCTTCGACTGACCGCTTGTCTCTTATTATCTGCAGGTGGAGGCTGAGGCAGTGAACCGCTCCGTCACTATCGCTAATCAGACCAACTGTCCTCTCTATGTCACCAAGGTGATGAGTAAGAGTGCTGCTGATGTCATTGCCCTGGCTAGAAAAAAGGGTACACTTCTTTTTTATTTCTGCGTCTATTTTTGTCCTGTTGACTGCCAGGGTCTGTCTGATGTTGTGTCATCCATTTCTCCTCCATAGGTGCTGTGGTTTATGGTGAGCCTATATCTGCCAGCTTGGCTACAGATGGAACCCATTACTGGAGCAAGAACTGGGCAAAGGCAGCTGCCTTTGTCACCTCTCCTCCACTGAGCCCTGATCCCACTACACCTGATTATCTCAACTCTCTCCTGTCATGGTAGGTGTCTGAAATGTAACATGATTTAAATTTGTGACCTATTCATCATATATGGTTTTCTTTCATCTAGTGGGGATCTGCAAGTGACTGGCAGTGCTCATTGCACTTTCCATACTTCTCAGCGTGCAATAGGCAAAGATAATTTTACTCTTATTCCTGAAGGAACCAATGGTGTAGAGGAGAGAATGTCCCTGATCTGGGAAAAATGTGTGGTAAGGATTTCAAGACATACATTTCTACTCTTGTTTTGACATAGTGATCAACCAAGTGTTTCTATCTCTTAAGGCGACTGGGAAAATGGATGAGAACCAATTTGTGGCAGTGACCAGCACGAATGCAGCAAAGATACTTAACATTTATCCACGTAAAGGCCGCATTGCTGTTGGATCTGATGCAGACCTTGTGCTCTGGGATCCAGATGTCACCAAGATTATTTCAGCCAAGACTCACAACCTGGTAAGCGTAGTAACAGATATGAATTATTCATGTGTAACATGTTACAAATAAACTGTACTCTCTTTCGGGCAGTCAGTGGAATACAACATCTTTGAAGGCACAGAGGTGCGTGGAGCTCCATTGGTTGTAATCAGCCAGGGAAAAATTGTTCTGGAGGATGGAACACTTCATGCGATTGAGGGCAGTGGCCGCTACATAAGCCGGAAACCTTTTCCTGATCAAGTGTACAAAAGGATAAAAGCTCGCAGCAGGGTAAATGTCCGATATGGGTGTAAAATTTATTCTGTCTTGTATTCTCCATTTATACATATATTGTCCATCTTTAGCTGACAGAGTTGCGGGGAGTCCCTAGGGGCCAGTATGACGGCCCTGTGTGTGAGGTTACTATAACTCCCAAAGTGGCTGTCGTTTCATCTGTGAAAACACCATCCACTAAACAAGAAGAACAACCACAGCTCACCCACCAGCCTGTACGCAACCTCCACCAGTCTGGCTTCAGTTTGTCTGGTGAGTCCAGAGGTGTCTTGTCACTCATAAGCAGTGAGATTTAACCCCAGGCATTGATACCATTTTTATTAATCATACAGGTGCCCAAATTGATGACAATGTTCCTCGCCGTAACACTTCACGCGTTGTGGCGCCCCCTGGAGGAAAGGCCAACATCACCAGCCTCGGTTAAGTTTGTGCTCAAAGAGCTGGTTATTGTAGGTCCAGAGGCTACTTTTCAGATGCCATTACATATTCATTATTTGTTACAACCTCTGGCCCTCCCAGAAATCCACATTTTCATTCATTGTTGTCTTTTCACATTTTAATGTCAGTAATAATTTGGTGTCATATTCCATTACTGGAAATTATTTGCTCTTTGAGTTTCTTTGTTTACATGTACATTTTGCACACTGTTGTGTTTCGATTGAAATTAGTAGCCTGACGAGCCAGAAACCGCTTGGTGACAGAGACTCAAAGCAATCCGCAAACAGAAGATCAAAAGATGTAGTCAATTAGAAAAACATTGCAGGGATCCATCCATCCATTTTCTTCCCCTTAATGCATTTCTGGGTCGGGGGGGGGAGAGGGGGCTCTGTCAGAGCTGCACCCAGGACACATAGCTCCAGCCCCTCACTCGTCCTCCTGCAGGTGGTGAGTCCACAGGAGCCTTGATCTCTCAGCAGGGGCTTCAGTCAAAGTGGGGTTAAGTTCTTGATAGGTACAGGGATAATTCAGTTAAATAACCTTTGTCATTTGTGGTATCGTCATTAGTGTTGGAATGCACGTGGTTGAGCTACAACAGACGTATAGACTTCTGCAACTGCTGTGATTTTATCCACTCAACCTCAGCCGCCAATTGTTTACTGTCCAAGTCGAGACCCTCTTCTTTTCTGCTAAATAGAAGTGGGTGTGGCTTGCCAGGCTACTAAAGTAGATATAACAGCATCACAGTTTTGGCAGTTTTTTTTAATGTGCTTAATTTCAGATAGAATGGGTTGGTGGTTAAAATGCTACCTTAAAAGATAGTAACAGCAAACAAAAGTGTTTAATCTGATGATTTATGCAGTGATTTTTATTACATAGTAACATTATCCGTGCAGCTAGACAATTCATCTTGGTCTTCCCTTTGTGTCTTGTGGCACTTCCTCACTTTATTTAAAAACAATTTTATTTACTTTTTTGTCTCCCATTTCGTGATTTTGTCATAGTTATGTTAATGTTTATGTAAAATGTCTGCACTCAAAAGGGAAAAGAGGGTTTCTAAAAATGTTATGCCTTGATGTGTGGAGAAAGCGGATTTGAAGCATTTTTGTTTGCAAATTGTTGTCGGAGCCACAAGCCTCATTTTTTAAGATCTCTTTAACAATTACACAGACACAACAAATGCATGATTCATTGTTAAGTAATGTATTTTACCCCTGGTGCTAAAACCACACACACTAAGAACCAGTTAAGAAGTACCGTACATAAACATTCCACATAATAGATATTAGCTTGCAACGTTCTACATGTACCGGTTATAACTGTATTTTAGAGTTTTCATTGAACTGCCTGGTCTGTTGTAGAAGATATTGAGAGCACACTGTACGCATGACGGCTCTGCTAAGACGTGAGACCTCTATAATGGAGACCTGAAGAACCTCTGGTGTGAATATGTCCACAGTGTGCTGATGATGTGTCCACTGTGCTGTGTTTGTGTTGTGAATGAACTTTATCTGCTGTCCATCTCACTCTGCGTCTCTTGATAGTAGCTACATGCACCAAACCACAAATTGTGATAAAATTGTTAAGTCTTTTTCACAGACGCACCACAATATGTAAAAGAAATATTTTATCTGTCATTACCTTGTCAAGTGTAGGATTTGTTTATGAAGCTATATGTGAAGTGAACATTGACGATGGTATTGATATGCACTGGTATTGTTCCTCCAGATGGTGTGATGCTGTTGGGTATTGTTTTGTAGGGAAACAGGGATGTTAAAGGGAAACTAACCGCTATGTCCACAAACAAGCCCTATCTGTGTGACCTTCAGTCAAATAAAATACTTAAACCAAACATTTTAATTTTCATGTATGAGTGTAATTTAGCGGATGTTATTTCTGCGCCTTTACACACAGGGCAACACAAAGCGCTTCACAGCCCACATGACATAAGGCACGAATCAGCACATAAAACAAACACCAAAAATCAGTTATTTAAAACATTAAAATCACACAAGAAATTAAAACAATATCACACAAAGGATTTAAAAATACAGTGCATTCATAATAGAATAAAAAATAAATCCTTCAGTTTTATGCACCAGCCTGATATTTGGATCATTGATATGGCAACTGATCAATGAAGTGCTAAAAGGAATACTGATCTCGATTCTTGATACCCATGTTGGTGAATTGTAACACGTGCGCTTGTTCAAGTCTTTGCGTAATGTGCTATTAAAGGGGTACCTATAGCTTTCAACCATAGACTGTATATATTAACCAAATATTTTTTTTAAACTACAATAAAATCCACCGAACTTGTCCACGCTCTCAAAATAACTACTAGTTTTCACATGCATCTTGAGGAGAGGACCACCCACCCTCATTCAGTCAATCAGCTAAAACCAAAGAGTAGCCTATTTTGTATTGTAAGGAAATCATAATTGACCAAGCCAAGCTAACCAAAGAGTCAAATAGAAACTCTCTTACAGTATTAAGTATGCAAAAAATGTGAATACTTTCTAGCATGATGTCATGAATTGCTGATAACATTTTTTTCATTCTTTTTTTCTCTGATTGAAGTGACTTACTCCAGCCACCCAGTAGGTGGGGATAAAGTTGTATCATTAAGTAGTTATGGAAAGCTTGCAGACCAGTAGCCTTTATCCAGTCTCCCCCATAGATCTCCCCTCACAGCCACAGGGAGACCCTGATGGTAAAAAAACAGAGAGCCCTTTTACATGCTCAGAAGTGACATATATGAGTTGAAGCATCGCTTTTGGCACTGGCACTTGTCCAATTAGGAGTTCGGGGGAATGGAGGGCCCTGGCATCATGAATGCACTGGGGTGAAAGGATCAAGTGTAATGAAACACAGAAGTTAACAATCTAAAGCCCTCTGGGGAGTGTGCAAACATGACTCATCAGTGTGGGCAGCAGTACAACAGAGTGGACCATCTCTGTTGAGTTTTTTTTTTCGCATTTCAAAATATCTGACATCTATCTGATTCTGTTTCACGCCACTGAAATAGAACAGATCTACGTTAATCTTACAACTTCTTTGTCAAGGTCATTCTCACACTGCTTTGGGTTAAAGCTGAGTGCAAGGTTACTGATCTAATTATATTATTTGAGCATTTGCAATATGATCTTTCTTCCTAATCTAGAGTATGGCACAGGTATTTGTCCCAGGGGTCTTTTCTTAAATAATGCCTCATGGATACCACTTTTACCATTATTGTCTCCTGCAGAACAGAAGTAGAAGAGGAATAACTGATTACGTATTTAACGACAGAGTCGGCTACACACAATTTTGACCAAATATGGATGTACAGCATGGATTTATTACAATATCGGATGTACAGTAACTATAGGCTACTTAAGTTTGCATTTGTAACAATATTTTAAAACCCGTTGTAAATATATTTCCTATTTATCATTTTTAATGATAAATAGAATTCTTCACCTCCACAAGAATACATTGTTTTGAGGAGACAAAATTAGGGGTTTAAAACAAATAAAAATAAAATCACTAAATAACCTTACATTAAGATAAATAGTTCACTTTTTGTCTTTTTTTGCAAGAGTACAAAAAAGTTCCATAGTTTGAAGATTTGTCAAAAATGTTTTATTCCCTTAGTTAAAATCTTCAATACGTGTTGAGATTGACTGAAAATTGTATTCCACTTAATCTTTTATATTACTAGTCTTGAATAGTGAAATATGGATTCATATCTACCTAGTTTGACCCTTGACACGGGGACACTACACTTAAATAATGAGACTGCCCATGCGGAAAGCTGAGGGTGCCTTTCCACGCTCTACTAAAAGTGCAAAAGGGTGGATTGGTTTAATGATGCTGACTTACCTCCCTCCTTCTGCCGCTCAGGGAGAACACAGCCATACAGGACAAGAGTGGAGCCCCAGAAAAGAAATCAATATGTGTTGGCAGAGCCTGTCCTCTTGGTATTTAGTGTTTTTGCAAGACAAGAAAGGCTCTCTTGGACCTCAGTGGCAAAAAAGCAAATAACTGGTTTACAATAAAACTATGTAAAAAATAAAGAAAAATAATAAAACATATTCTAACAGCATTTTCTTTATTGTCTAATGCATCACTGTACACCTCATGTTTCTGTCCATGTTCACAATATCATAACAGTAATGCCGTGACTGTAATGGACTGTAATGGACAGGGAGTCAGTTTGTTACTCAAAGTATCATTTATAATAAATGCAACTAACAGGACACTTCTACGATGTTGCTTTAACAAAAACCTCTGTTATTATTCAAGGGGGGGGGGGGGGGGGTACACATGATCAGTTCCACTGACAACTTCTAAGGATGTCAAAATGTGCTTAGATCAAGATCAATACTTCAAGATATTTTACTGTTTATTTTTTGCAAGTTTTTTTTGCAGTGATGTCATCATTGTTTAGGCAACTAACCAAGCCTTTGTCTTTCTGAATCAGTTGTATTTGGATACATCATTTGTCCATACATGGCTTTTGTATGAGACAACTCTAAATCTGGTGGATTTTAAGAGGCTTGGGACTGATCAGGATTGAGGTCAACAACCACAAGATCACGCAAACCAACACTAACATGATAAAGAGAGCCAGCTGGCTCTGAAACAAGGTAGGCCACAAGAAAATATGGTAATCCTGCTCTATTTAAGGGAAAACACACGTTACATGTGGAAAAGGTTTTAATGGCACAAATACTGACCAGCACTTCTTGTGCTTTACATCATGCAAACCAAAATAATGATGATGATGACAATAATAATAATAATAATAATAATAATAATACAAAAATATAATAACAATGATATCAGGGCTTTAAACCTCACATTTGGAGCTTAAACTCTAAAAGTGCATTTCATCAATACAAAAGACTATAACGTTATTTTTGTTACACATTATTCCTGTGCATATTGCCACAATGTGAGTGCAGAGAACACTACTAATTCACCAACTCACATTACTCAGAATGTATGTAATTTTTATGGTGGGATTTCGACCAGCTTCTCTCCCTGGGGATGATAATACCCATTACAGTGATTTTCAAAGTGCGGGATAGGGACGAGAGAGTGTGGAAAACAATACTTTTAACTGTTTTTCACCGATTATTGAACTAAAAATGGATTCATTTTGAATCCATTCAACAATTTTATTCATTGCCGGGTCGCAGGGGAGCAGTCTGAGCCGCGAAGCCCAGACCTCCCTCTCCACCCATACTTCCATCCCAGGCCAGCTGAGAGACATACTCCCTCCACCTCCCAAGGAAGGAGTCCAGGAGGCACCTGCAACACACGCCCAGTCACAAAAGAGCGGCCGCATGATAATGCAGTATATAATAAATATTATATTGATAATAATGATAAGATTAAACTATCCAAATAAACAATGGCAGGTTTCATCATTGTCCGCTTAATAGTACACTTGCATGTGCATGTTTTGACATTACAATGATAACCATGGATTGATTTGACACATACTTTGTGGACACTTAAAGTATTGCATTAGACTTAACGATAACTTGCATTTCATGGGGTTTTATTGCACAAAACATCTTGAATTCATGAAGATAGACAGACATCATCATGGTAAGAAGCAGGAGGCGGGTTCCCCCTTAAAGAACAATAACATACATACATTATTTCATATAACGTTATTGCATATGAAATACATTTGCACACCACACCACATTGGACTGGATGTACACTTTGAGAATACTCCATAATGTGATGTATATATTCAAATCAATGTTGTTTTGCAGCATTTTAGGGCCATCAAAGAGAAGCACAGGTCTTTCCAAAATTCTAATAAAAAGTGTGAGGTTTTCGGTTGTGTCTTTTCCTCATAGAAGAAAAGTCTGACCTTGAAAATCAGATTCATGACTAAGAAATGAGGGATTATGTTCATCATACTGGGTCTCCTTTCTCCGACAGAGAGAGTTTGTGGATTTTGATGGTTGGAAGATTTGTGACTACAGGGTTTTTGCAGGAGTCTTGTTGGATTGCTCTATCGTCAAAGAAACAGCAACACGTTCGATGAATGCTTTTACTACATAAATTGGCCACTTTTGTCCTTTTTGTCTCGACCGGCTCTGTTGCACTTGTGGGACTCCCAGAAAACACCTTCCAGTCTCTGCTGTCTTTAGAAGAAGGTGTTCTGGATAAAACCAGAGAGGAGGAAGGGCTGAGGCGGGACGGAGTGCGGTTATTGTCTAATCCCAGTGAGTTAGGTCGACCCTGCGGACCCTGGCTCTGGATGAGATGAGGCGGTCTGGAAGGAGTCTCTTTTATGCAGCCAAGTAAGCTCTGGAAGGCTTTTTTGAACTCCTGGTTGGAGCATGGGTAGATGATGGGATTAATGCAGCTGTTGAAATAGCCGAGCCAAAAGGTGATCTTGAAGACTGTTTCGGACGGTCTGTAGGCAGGAAACATGGAGCCTGTGTTGACAGTAAGAGGCAGGAGTTATTGGACAGTAGGTATTCCTATAGAGCACAATTTTGTTTTAAAGTTGTGCAGTTTTAGAAAAAGTAATTGAAATCTATTTATTCTGTATTATACTACGTATTGAAGTATGTTAATCAAATGACTAATTCATAACATTTCATAAAATGTTGTATGTATCGAGTGAAAGGCTATATTAGGTTACATTCATGTGATATCACAAACTTCAGAATAGTTTAAAATTGTGGTGGGGTGCAGCTGAAAAATGTTTCCTAGAAACCGTCAAAAATCTGATTTCTCTGTAATTCCCAATCCACATCAAACCAAAACAGTTAAACGTTTACTTTTGTCAGTACATATGTAACTCAGTTGGTAGAGCACTGGCCTTTGAGCCAGAAGATTGTGGGTTAGGGCCCACCTCAAGACTTTCATCGACTCCCACTGTCTCATGTCGTTGTATCCTTGGCAAGACACTTAACCTCTGGGAACACCAGCCACAGTGGGGCAGCTGCGGCTGTAAAGTGCCAAACTGCCGTTGTGTCCATAGGTAAGACACTTCACCCCCATTGCCTAGAATGAATCTGGTGTGTGTGTGAATGGTTGGTGGTGGTCGGAGTGGCCAATGGCACATACTGGTTGCCTCGCTTCTGTCAGTGTGCCCCAGGGCAGCTGTGGCTACAGTGATAGTTTATCACCACCGTGTATGGAGTGAATGAATAATAACATGTACAGCGTCTTTGAGTGTCTTAAAAAGCGCAATATAAAACCAATGCATTATTATTATTATTATTACATATCAAAAAATGTTCTCATAAAGTTGGTGACAATATTTAAAGAAATACGTGCCTGATGCCTGATGTTTGGTCAGTAAATAGGCTTTCAGACATGAGAATAATATGATGCTATGTGGATCACTAACAAATAACATTATGGGAAAATATTGTGACATTTTTAAAAACATTTATTTTTCAATGGTTCTTTCCCATAGAGTTGAATTCACCTGCCCTCCAAATAAAACAGAATTCTAAAACATCAATGCAACTTAAATGCATCAGTTTTATATAGCGCTTTTTTGAACATTCAGAGATGCTTCACATGTCATTAGTCATTCACTCCAGTGATCAAATACTACAGTAGCCACAGCTGTCTTGGGGCACACTGACAGTAGTGAGGCAACCAGTAAGTAGCCATCAGCCCCCTCCGACCACTTTACAGCCACAGCCGCCTCACTGTGGCACCTGGTGTTCCAAGAGGTGTCTCCCATCACAGTACTGACCATGATCTGCCCTGCTTAGTTTCAGAGGTCTGACAGGTTTTGGTTTTCACACGCAAGCAGGGCCATACGATGGTGTCACAGACATAGTTATAAGGAATTAAGGAAAAGCACTGAATGATCTTTGATTCTCAATACTTAAAATAAATAAAGAAACACAGAAAGAAACATGACAAACCACAATCTGGAGACAAACAAGAAAGTGACCAAACACATAAAGAGGAAGTATATGGCTTCAGGCGATTGTGGATTAATGAAAATGCCTCTCAGAGCGTTTCCCGCAGGGTTTTTTATTGCGCCCGCTTCAATACTGTGCTGATTAATTGAAAGGAGGTGTCAGAGGATTTCCCTAATGAAGAAGCAGAAGAAATGACTTAATGACGACATCACATCCCAGATGTTTGTCACCTGGGGAGATTTATTTTTAAAAGTCTGTGAACCGCAATATATTTTACTCTCTAAATCCGGTGAAGATGATATAACCAAACATGAACATGGGGGAGTTATCAAAGTTTACATGTGTAGAAGTGACTCACATTGAAGCAAACTGATCTATGAAGCACACACATATGGAACCAAACAGCATCAATTGCAGAAGCTACTTTGCACCGGCAGATTAAAAAATATACCCCTATAAGGGCTCTTATTCCAGAAACCACACAATTTAATTTAAAAGAGGAGTCTGCAAAAGATAAGGAAATAAAAATTTATAATGAATAAAAAAAGTATTTAGGTTTGGCTTTTAAAATTACTCATGCAGTCAGGACTCCATACATATAATCTCAGTGCAATGAGGGTTTTGAGATACATTAACCATTAACATATATTTACTTCAACAGGTGCGTGCATGTGAATGTGTGCATGCATATGTGTGTGTGTGCGCGTGTATTTTGACAACAAAGGAAACCACATGTGTTACAGCCTTCATCTAAAAATATAATTGTCTACTGTAATGGTGCCAGTGTTAGTAATGGAGAAATGCTAAGCCTGTTTCCCAGTCACTATTATCTATATTTAGGTGCATGCGCGCATGCTTTAAAACACAGACCAGAGGGGACGTCTGTGCAATCATGCATGCTCATGGTTTTGGATTTCTCACAGCTCACAAAGCAACCACATTAACACTAAAGCTTTACATAAAGTTACAGTATTCGTGCAACAGAAGGATCCATGATGCATGAATGTAAGAAATCCTAACCCAAAAGTATTTGTGTGTGAGTCAACAATGTATCTTTATTAGCCAGCCAGGGATGTGAATTGTAAATGAGCATTTTAATAATATTTCACATTGGCTGAAATCTATAGATTTGTAACTGTCTGATTGCAATGTCGCTGGTAAATATTACATAATTATTGTCACATAAAAAATGTATTTAATAATAAAGGTTATCTAGAGAAACCTTCTAGTTCGATTCCTGAGTATGTCGTCACTCATCATCATTCTTTAACTAATTACTTTAAGGAAGATTCAGGTCTGACTATTCTTGAGCTGTCATTATCAGATCAAAGATAACGCTCAAATTTAAATCATTTGTGGAAAACATGAGAAACCTGGCTTTTTGTTTATACCAAAAGGATCCAACAGTGTCGGACACCCGTAAAGATTTATAACGGCTATTATTAGAGAGGCTCTAATGGATGTTTCTTTGTGTTTGATTCAGAGCAGTTACTACATGGCACACAGGTCGCAGAGAAGCTGGAGTAAAAAGTCACTGAGGACATTCAATTAACTCTAAGGAAATGATTCAACTCCACTTAAAAGCGGCAAGAATTAATGAAGGCATCTACCGAATGAATTAAATTAAATGGTTGGCTTAATTAATCTGACTCAAAATAGGTGTAATGAGGTGTTCTGAAAAGAATGTTTTAGACAAAGTTCACATTGTTTCATACTTTAGAGATGGGCATTTATAACACAATTCATACAAACGATATTTAACATCTTGTGCTTGTGCAAAATATCTGTTTTAATTTAGAAAGTGCATTCCTCAACTATCCTGGTGGTCAGCCTGCTTTTTTTTCATTTGGGTTTGCATCTAAATTTTATTGTTTTTCCTGGATATGTATACACTTTTTCTCTAAACTTTCTTTTTACATCAAAAACAAGCATGTCATTTCACAAAGATACGAGTTATATCTGTGGCGAGGCAAGTCTTTTCAGTTTTAGGCGCTAAAATCATTGATAATTAAGACGTGTGCCTGTTCTACACCAAACTAAGGGATATTTCAAGCAAAGCAACAACATCAATTGCAAGAAGCAGGCCTTAGATCAGTTCATTTCATCAGTCAAAAGGGCCTTTCTGAGGCTCAAAACATATTTATTCAGACTAACTTTTGACACTTTTAACACTCATTACCACGGTGGAACTTTTGAAATGCTTTTTAATTTTTGTTTTAGTTTTTTTGTTGAATGTATGAATGTTTTAATGGATTTTATGTGATTTTATTGTAAAGCACTTTGGTCGCCTTGAGTGTTCTAATGGGATCTATAAATAAAAATGGATAGCTTGGACAGGGACTGGCCTACTGCTGGTGCCTAGGGTCAGGACTAAACATGGGGAGGCAGCGTTTCAAATTTATGCGGCCAGAATTTGGAACAGTCTTCTTGAGCCTCGTCCCTGGCAATGTTTAAGTCCAGGCTGAAAACTGTCTTATTCAGGTGTGCATATGACTAATCTGAAGCATTTATTTTCTAAATGGTTGTAACTTTTATCTTTTTAATACATTATGTTTTATATGTATATACACTGTATTTATGTGTTTTTAATTGCTTGTGAAGCACTTTGGGTTACACTGTATGAATTGTGCTTCATAAATAAATTTGATTTGATAAATGTGATTTGATTGGACAGTTGAGGAATACCACTCTTTGAAAAAACGGTTTTGCCATTTTTCTTTTTACAATCATTTTGCATGCACTATCTGTACTTAATCACAAGCTGTACCCACCGATTGGCAGAACCAGGAAGAACGGGAACCAGCAGAGTATGAAGCATCCGACCACGATGCCCAAGGTCTTTGCTGCTTTCTTCTCTCTGGAAAACTTCAGCAGTCTGAGGGCAAAGTGCTTACTGCTCCTGAGTGCCTCGTCTTCAGAAACTGGAGCGTTGCCTCTGTGTATTCGCAAGATAACGTGCTCTGAGTGGGACTTCTCTGTCTTTTTCCCCTCTCGCATACCCTGGCTCTCCCTATGGGCGACCACATAAACTCGACAGTACATCACCAGAATGATTGCCAGTGGGAGGTAGAAGGAGCCCACAGCGGAGAAGATGGCATACCCAGGCTCTTCTGTGATCTTGCAAATTGTTTCATCTTCTGGGGCTGGCTCTTTCCATCCAAATAAAGGTCCGATGGATATTATGACGGACAGCACCCAGAGGAGCAACACAGCCAGCAGTGCCCGCCGCTTTGTCATCATTGCCGGGTATCTCAAAGGGTAGCTCACTCCAATGTAGCGATCCACCGAGATGACACATAGACTCATGATGGAGGCAGTACAGCAGAGCACATCCACAGCAGCCCAAATATCGCAGAACACTCGCCCAAAAACCCAGCGGTCCAGAATCTCCAAAATGGCAGAGAAAGGCAGCACGATGGAGGTGATAAGCAGGTCGGCCACAGCCAGGTTGACAATGAAATAGTTTGTGACTGTCCTGAGGTTTCTATGGCACACCACTGAAAGTATCACCAGAATGTTTCCCACAACTGCAAACAAGATCAGACCTCCAAGCACAAAACCCAAAACAACAGCTTTGACTACGTTAAGCTCTGGGATGAAAGGCTGGCTGTTATTGCTGCTATTGAAGGAGTTAGGAGTGAGAGGTGCTGGGGTCATAGTGTTTAGAAGAGAGACCATGTGACCATAAACTCCCAGCACGGCGCACTATAAGGATGAATTGTAGATTTGCAGAGGAGATTATGGCAGTAATTGATGTCTCTGTAATTTTTGGGGAGTTTTACACATATATTGAGTGTACATCTAACAGAAATATCAAATATCAGCTACAGATCAGTCATATATGAAATCACTATACAATTGCCTACAAAAAAGCAGAAATATCTGTTTTACATTTAATTGGAAGTTTGCCCACAATTTATTTTTCCAATTAATTAAAGTTATTTTTGCTACATTTTAAAATCATGTATATTCAATGTTCAAATTTGGCATGTCTTTAAACATACTTTCATGATATAATATTTCTCTCTAGGATAAAGTTTCATCCAAAATTTTATCTGGCACTCTTTATGAATTGCTTTTGAATTATGAAGACAAATCTATTTTGGTTTTTGGAAGAGAAAACTGGTTTGATCTACTTTATGTTCCTTAAAATTCTCACTAAAACTCACTAAAAATCTAAATTCTCAAATTCCTTTTTTTCTCCAGGTTATGATTATGTCATAACTTCAATTATCACTATTATCAATTAACCAAATCATCATTCCATCCTTACTTCAGGACCAAAGGGAGAAACAGGACATTGGGACAAAAAGGCAGTAAAATATAATAATTGCGTGACATCACTTTTGTGAAAACAATTTGAATAATGACGCAGTTACTAAATTTATGTGGGAGACGTATCTAGAAAATTCAAAGTCTTAACATGGGTTTCATATCTGACAGAACCCATCTTTCAACTGTTTTCTGCTACACAAATTGATCAAAATACACGGTCAGCTCAAGTGCAGATGGGGCCACGCACTCAAAAACAGCTTTAAGCAGCTTTGGATCGGTAGAATACAGCATGTCAGTCCATTTTTCACAAACATAAAAAAGTCACTTGATGGCAGGATGGAAGCCGGCCTCGTTATGCTCCAGATGAAAGAGAGGGCAATTTGTAGAGGAGGAAGTATCTGCAAAAATAACAAACATAGTTGAGCTCAGAATGATTGTGGTATATGGTGACAGCATGTAATGTGTTTTTCTCTTTGTGTTGTGTGGCTCCTTTTTAACAACATTGTGTTATTATTAAAGATTGTGGGCGACTAACAGTAGTTGTTGTCAGATCAATGTGACCACCGCCTCATTGCGACTTTATTGACTGAGCGCTATGTGAAGAGTGGGAAGCAGAAAGCACTCTGACCACAAACCAACTATTCTGTTCCAGGGCAGTTTTTAAAAATATGTTCTCTTTTTTGTTAAATCTGCAGATATGGTCCATATGGCTTTGAAGTGAATCACAACATATAGTGACACGCACTAGAAGCAAGTGGCCATTTCGTCACACTAATAAATTGAGTGAAATTAGTGATTTGGAGAAGCTGTGTTAGCCCGGCCAACCAAGAGTTCAGATTGGTGTTATTTCATGTTCGGCCAATTAATAAAAAGGATTATTGCATAATAAACATAAAACAACACAAAGGACTGATGAAAATAAATAACACTTTTTCAGTTAAATTTCTGAATAAAACAAACACACATGCATGTTACAGTGCTGTGGGCATTGTTAGACATATTCTGTGGGAGAATATCTAAGGTGTGTGTCAAAGCCCTTCAACATGGAGAAAATCTAAAGAGTAAACATCTTATAGAGGAAGCAGTAAAATAAATTTTGCAATATTGCTTAATAGTTATGATTATTAACTTAATCATGAACGCTAAAGTCCATCACAACAATGATTAGGCTTAATGTCTTGTAAATTGCTGCATCAGTCAAATTATATGTAAGGTAAATACATTGCTACATCTGTTTAGCTTCCTGTGACTCTCTTCTCATTATTCTTGTACAGTGATACTTACCATGGCATTATTGTTGCACAATCGTGCGCAGTTAAGCTGTGGGCTTTTGTTCCCTATCCTGAAAAGCCCTCGGTTGTACTCTGATTAATTTCATTGTGTATCTTCTTGGGTCCTTTGACTTGGAAACAAAATGTCCAACAGCCTCACACATTGCTCCATTTGAAAATGTAATCTTGTCTGCGGGCATGTCCATTTAAACGTTATTGAAATGGATTTAAATTAAATTGTCTGCATGTTTTTATGTACCTTAGCCTAAAAAGTACAATTTCTTCTTTGTATTTTCCCCATTACTGGGAAGCTAAGTGCAGCCCTCAGGAACCCATTTCAAGATAAAAGCTTGACTTGGTCCTTATTTGTGCATTTTTTGGATTGATGAGTTAAACAAAAGGCCAAAGAAGAACAACAGAGACACGGAGAAACTCACTCAGCACAAGGCCTGGGCTTGACCAGAAGAAAAATTCATGACCTTTTTGTTCTGAGTCTTAGATGACAAAACTATAGGGCAGAACATGCCAAAGAATGGTGGATGAAACAGTGATTGGGACATTATGTAGTCCCCACAAGTCCTCAGCCTGCTCCCCCTCCCATGCCTTTCAAGATTAACCAGGGCTGACCTTTTCATCCAAACGTCAATGTCCACCACGACTGGATGTACAGCTGTTTTACATGCTTCACAGGTTCATATAATGCCGACTGACATGCTCCTGTCCATGCTTTAAGTATACTGCATTTATCGGCTATTATCATAAATCTGCTCTTATAACTCATAATCCGTCCTACTGATGTCTGTATTTATTGCATTGGACAGCTATGATGTAAATGTTTCTACGTTTTCAGAATGGGTTTAAATATAACTCAGCTGAAGATTAATTATCATCAAATCCATCCCTTGAATAGTTGGTGTGTTATTGTACATATTGCCAATAACAGTCAAATTGATTATTATTATCATTTTTGCCTTCAGAGGGCAGTGAAAGTCACGTATCTCTTTTGTAAACTTTTACCTTGAAAAGTCCCTGTAAAACATTTAATAGTGGACGTCACCATCTATTGTTTTTTTCTGCAAATATTCACTTCGCTCTAATTGATAAATTATATTGGTCCCAATAGAATATCTGGCAAAGTAAAATGTGGTGAACAAATCAGACTATTTCATTCTGTCTTAAATCTTCATTTTATAGTAACTCTAAGGACACTCTAACATTCTACAAAATTAATGGACATTGGTCATCTATGGACCAATATCTATGTGTTCTATATTTTTTGTGTTTGAACTGTTTGATTCTCTGATCTGTGTTGGCGAATTCAACGGTTTTGTCAAGTCCTAGATAACTACTGTTAATAGAATAGAATAAATTGAATTGAATAACTGATTGACTGAGTGAGTGTGGTCCTCTCTGTTTCATATATGTCTGAAAACTATGCGAAAAACAATGGATTTTACATTGTTGACATTACAAGATAGATACCCCAGCTTTAAATCGAGCACATATTGGAGCTTTCTTTGTGCAGGCACATTCAATTGTTGCATGTTATTGTTTTTACCTTCACAACACAAAATAATCCATGCATCTTGGGTGTTTGCGACGGCTATTAGTGCGCACAGTCATTGGAATAAAACAGGTGGAAGTCTACAACAATATTACTTCATTTGACGGTGAAATTACGAGGCGTAATCCCCAGGTTTATGGCTTTGCATCAGGATTGAGGGAGATAATCTAAACGGTAAAGTCGCATTTGTATGGCGCGATGATTTATCGAATAACAAACTCACTAATTACAGATCATCCAGGTGACATAAGTAATCATTAAACAATTAGAGACCGAAAGACTCTGGAAAAAACATGTTGCGCGCCTCTCTGCATAAGTGCGAGTTTTTCTTATTTCTCCTTATCTTTTCCTCAAAACAAAATTAATTAAAGCGGCACTCACCCAACTTTAACTTTGATGTGCATTTGAATATCCGTTTGAAATAATTTGTTTCATATAGTCTAGGTTTTAGTTTGCAGAATGAAGTGCAGCTGGAGAAAAGCCAAAGTCACTCATTGTGTCTGAAGAACGCGCGCCTGATGTCCGTCTCGCCGCTGTCCCAGTCCAGTGTGATGTAGAGTATCAAATGACTCACTGCTTTCTCACTGCCTTGCTCTAGTAGCGCTCACCCCTTGGACCCTCCACCCATCCACGCGGCTCATCACTCCTCACACGCACCTTTCAGCATCCGCCCCCCCCCCTTGTGCGTCAGCCCAACAAGTCCCTGTCCATCTAAAACACTTGTCTTTCAGTCAGTCAGTCCTCCCTAAAAGCCATCTTCGCCTTGACACATGCTGCTAAAACAACTAGCGCTGGCCTGACACACAAGACAAAAGAGTGTGCGCAATTGCGCGTCAATCTATAAATCAGCTCAGCCAGACAATCTCCGGACACTATTAATCACCATCGGTGACACATTGCTTTGTGAATCAAACGCTCTCTCAGGGTGATGACAATGGAGTTAATCCTTAATCTGATCTCAATGTTCAGAACAAAAGCTTTTTAGTTTATAAGACGAACGAGTGCATACCGGGATCAAGCACAACAAACAAGAGATCAGGTGAAATTTCTTTGTTCTCTTCCGATTTTGAAATGCTACAAGCTAAAGTGGTGGATAAAGTCATAACTTGGATGTCATGGTCAAAGGGTCTGCCGCCACACACACACGCACGCACGCGCGCATGCACACACACGCAAGCCTACAGTATTAAAATTGAAACGTTGTAATCCTATACTGCAGGCTTATTTTACGCCTATATCTTGTTTGCAGTTCTCAACACTTCCAAACGTAAAGTCAGGTACTGTTGGTTACTGTCCATCTGTGTCCTTCCTCCCAAAGCCTGATTTACTCAGGCAGCTGTGCAGACTGCTTCCATCACTGTTGGATCACAGTGCAAAACCTCAACACATCTGTCAATCTGATCTGTTTAATTCAACTGCAGCCAATGTTCATTTGGTGGTAATATTACAGCACAACTCACACACTGACCCACAGATTTCCTAGACCCACCATTTTAAATTAAGTCTAAAGTAAAAAGATGCATAATACAATGTTACAAGAAACGCATTAAGTTGAATACAATACAAAC